ATCACAAACTGATTTTTGGTTTTGATATGAAGAAATGTCATTGGAGCAACCATTACAAAAATCAGCTCTGTTTTTGAGACTCCAACAAGAAAATAATAAACCAGCATTCTAAGAATCTAAGTCCTGCCCCTTCCTGTCTGCCTTGCACTGCAGGCAGGTTTCTGGGTGGGAAATTGGACACCCCTGTCAGACGGGGTTTCCTGCATTGCCTTGCTCCTGTCTGCCAGAAGGGCCCCGATCGCTCTACAAGGGGGATGTGGAGAACAGCTGGTGTCTGCACAGACAAACAGGGCAGGAAGAATGGCAGGAGCAGACAGACATCATGCAGGGCCAAGTAACAGGGAGGCTCCAGCCCTGGGGACCAGGAAGAGACTTAGAAAGAAAGCTGGCAAGAAGGAAGTCTAGGAGAAGGTGCTGAGAGCTTGACCCTGGCCCGGAGTTCCTACCAACACTCTGTTCCAGGAGGTCTGTCATTCAAGAAGCTCACCTACCAGGGGGGAAAAGCAAGATGCTCAAATAAGATGCAAGCTCATTGCAGCAAGACGTTCACACAACTTAGGGGCTGGGACTATGTGGTTTACACACTCTGGATTTGCATCTCGGCTCCATTTTTTACTGGGTGGCTGGCCTTAGCTCTTCTAAGAGAGTTTCATCATCTATAAAAGAAGGATAAAAGGACAACAGCTACAACCGAGCTACTGTGCTGATGAAATGAAATGAAAATCCAGTTAACACTGCCGGCAAGGAGTGAGCTTTCAATAAATACTAGCTATTATGACTTGTTTGGAGTTAGGAAATCCCACACATAGCTCTGTCACTTTGTACAAATGATTCCACCTCTCTGAGTCTCAATTTTTCTAACATGCCAGACTGTTCCGGAGTCTAAATGAGACAGTGTGCACACATATCTAGCAAATCAGCACACACTGCTCCACTAATGGAATGCGTGTCATTTAGGAGAGTGCGGGAAGTCCATCTTCCCTGTGGGTGAGTTTCTGAGGGCAAGCCTGGATGCTCAGAGGAAGGGAGTTTCCTGTGATATAGGGTTGGGGCCCAGGGGATAAGCTGAAGTTAAATAGGACCAACAGATAAAGGCAGAGGAATGAGAAGGAAGTACTTCTCATCCACCATGAGGCTTCTTACTGTGAAAGCTGGAAAGAGAAACTAGAACTTTCTCCTGCCCTGTGGACACCCAGGGGAAGCTCCCGTGCAGGCTGTGTGGATGACATGGATGACCGGCAAGGAAGGAGCCTCTTCTACCTCCACCTTTTCTTTGCTTCTGGGAAAAGATGCTTTACTGTTTGCCATGGGGAGGGAACCCACATCCAAATTCCCTGGCAGTCTGGGTTCACGGTGAAACGTCTCTAGCCAGGACTGGAGGGGCCATGCCCAGGTGCACTAGAGACAAAGTCCTATTCACATGTACTTTCTACATCTGAGACTCATCCCTATGCAGCAGAAAGAGCAGGGCTTGTGAGTTGGAAAACACTGGATTCAAATTTTGGTATTCACCATTCACTACTTGGGGAAGTCCCATAAGTAGTCTGAGCCCAAATTTGTCCACCGTGAAAATAATAATATTGATCTGTCAGGGTTGGTGGAAGGATTAAAGAAGACAATGGAGGCCAAGTGTCCAGAAGTGGCTGACATATATGGCAATCCACATAGTATTTGTTGTTATTGATTTTCTCTGCCTATTTTCACCTCAAAACCAGTCTCCTGCAGGGAGTAGCTGGGTCCAAGAAAAAAGGAGAAAAAATTTGGGAAGTTGGAGTGTATTTAGAAGTTACACATGGGAAATTTAAATTATGGGAAGTGTTATTTTGAGATTCCTTTCTTTTTGAGGACTCAAATGTCCAGAATGTTGAACCTGAGGAGCCCTATACACCTTGGGCAAATGGAATAACTAAGACAAAGTTGTCTCTGCCACAAGAGAGACTTAAATCTAAGACATACTTCACATGCAGCTCTAACAGGCTCTCCCCTGCTGCCCCCCACTGTGTTCACTTTCACGTGAAAATCTCCTACTCCTTCAGGTCCCAATGTACATGTCACTTCCTTGGGAAGCTTTCTCTGTCCTTGACACTCTTCTCCCTAAGGTCCCACCCTTCTTCTTCATTGCCTTTCCCACAAAAGGGGCTGAATGTGTAGTCATATAGCTTGTTGCTTGATATCAGGCTCCCTTGCAGACAGTAAGTCTCCCAAGAGGAGCAGCCCTGTCTGCCTGGATCCTACCATGTGCACACAGCCTGACCCAGAGCTGGGCAAAAGATGCTCGGTGGACATTCAGCTCACTTGAAGAAGGAAGGCTAGCCATCTCCCTTCTGCTGCCTTGGCCAGTGGAAAGAAAAAAAATTAAAGTAGAAGATGAGAAACTTTTAAGACAAAAATTTCAAACCACATTTATAATGAGGGGTCCTTTGAGAAGAGGTGGTGCTGATCCCAGAACCCTGGAGCCTGAAATTGTTGCAACTGACCCCAGTTAAAGAGTCACAAATGGAGACAGGCCTTCTTAAAAAAAAAAAAAGAAAAATTATACACACACACACACACACATATGCACACACATACTGAAACCAAAGTTACTATAAAAATTTGGAGTCTACACTTCAATCTCATGACTTTCTCTCCCTACTATATACTCTGTAATAAAGAGTAAATATATTTAAGGATGTCTCACCTAAAATAAACCCCAGTTTTAATTTTATTTTTATATTTTAGTACATAAGTGGCAGTAGTCAGGGAATGAGAGAGCTGTTCTCTCATACTGATAGTGTAAGATAGTTTTAATTCCATAGGAAACTTCTATGTAAAACAAACTTCATTTTCCATTCATTTTCAAAAACAGCCTACTCCAATAGAATGAAATAGAGATAACTATGGTATACATTCATTTGGAAAGGTATCAAGAACTGTAAAAATGCTTACAACTTTTATCTGAGTCATTTCAATCCTAAGGATCAATTGTAAAGAAACAAGTATTTATGTGCAAAGATGTTTGTGAGTGCCATTATTTATAATGGTAAAAAACTGAAATAACTGAAAAATTAAAAATGGACACAAATAAATTACTGTAATCACCATCATATATAATAAACAATAATACAGGAAAAGTATAGTCAGAAAGTTCACACTAATATTATATAATTCTTATGTATAAGATTTGCTGTGCTAAGTCAACAAAACCAAATAAAAGAAGATCCCAATTTATAAATGCAGCGATATATACATATACACATATATCTTCACACTTAATAAAATACACAGAAAATACACCCAAAAGAAATACAAAATATGCCAAAAAGAAAACAGAGGCTATCTTTGGATTTTAGGACAATAAATGGACTCATTTTTTTAAAAATATTTTTTCACTTGTCAATGGACCTTTATTATTTAATTTATTTATATGTGGTGCTGAGACTCGAACCCAGTGCCTCACATGTTAGGCAAGCGCTCTACAAGTGAGCCATGACCTCAGCCCCAGTAAATAAATTATTTTGTTCTCTTCTTTCTGGACTTTCCAAAGGATAGAATATATATTGTTTTGTAATCAGAAAGACAATAAAATTTTTAATAGAAAGCAAATTTTATTTTCCTGTACAAAACAATGTATGCCTTCAGTATTCTATAAAACAATCAAAATCTTGGAGAAAAGGGTAAGCATCCTAAAATTCACTGCTACACAGGAATGAGTGATCCTAGGGAACCCTAGCATCCTTTCTGTCAACCAGCAACAGTGCCCCCATTTGAGTGTGTCCTTATTCATCCCTGAATGTTACAGTCAGAGCATCTTTCTTGAAGGCACCAACTCTGAAGGATGTTGCATATAAAGGGACGTGGACTGGAAGCCAGGAGACTGGCTCTGGGTTTATTACTCAACTCTGCCACATTGCACAAATCATTCTTCCTCATGGGCCTCAGCATTCCATTAATAAAATAAGAAGTTTGTGGCAGATAAACACACAGAGTTCTTCAGCCAAGACTGACTATGATTCTTGGCCTGACTTTTACAGTAAGATCAAGTGCAAATGATTGTTGAGATGGAAGGACTTTTTGGCTCACTTTATTTATTCATTTATATTTTGTGGTGCTGAGGATTGAACCCAGTGCCTCGCATGTGCTAGGCAAGCACTCTACCACTGTGCCACAACCCCAGCCCTTCATTGCACTTTAAAGATGAGTGTAAATATAGAAAGAGTTTCCAATTAATTCATTCACCACATGCTTCTCAACTTGGGTTGGGTGAGTTTAGCACCCCTTAGCTCTTGGCTGGATCCTCAAACTCTGGTGCCAGCTATAGACAGGAGGCAAACAGAGGTAGTCACTCTTTCATGAGTGTTTGATAGGCATATCTCACTCAAATGCTCCAGTTTTACTGAATTGCTCCTGTGTGCATCCAAATGGCAAAGGAAGAAAATCATGACCAGGATCCCCCCTCTCCTCCACTCCCAATTCCACAGGTGGGAAAACAAAATGGGTGATAAAATGCTCCAAGGTCATGTGTCCTTATTGGGGATGCTCCATTTTCTCTCTCCCCCCCAGACTTCAGCCACTACTCCCTAATACATAAATTCTCTCTCTAGGACTTTGCATTCCAAAGTACATGTGAGGTAGAAATTACCATCCCCAACCCCACCTCCCTACCCCTTCTCCTTACCCTTCAAGTTTAGGTAAAGATACAGCTTTCTCTGCAGGGCCTGTCTAATGCCTCACCGGGGCCCTCACAGCACATGTAATTTACCTTTTCAAAGTACTTATTTATTGGCTTCCATAGCTGACTCTAAGCTCTCAGGACCACATCGGCCAAGGTCATCCAGGGCCCAGCACATGCTATTAGCCTAACTTTTGACTAAAGAATAAAACATAAAACGAGACAAAGCTTGAAGACAGAGCGCTAACACAACCAGGACAATGGGTCACCCAGCATGTAGGAGTGACCCTGGCCAGCAAGCTGCAGCGGCGTGCAGGAGGAGGGTGCCCAGCACCCCACACTGGCCTACCTTTTTGGTCTTCACCGTGGAGGTGCAGCAATCCCCACCATCATAGTTGCAGAAGGCTCGGTTGTTGATGGCATCACAGTAATTGTCTCCCATGAAGGGCTACAGAGGAGGAGACAAACAGGAAGGAAACAAGGCTTCGTGATCAGCCTGGAGTGAGTGGAGGCTGTCCTCAGAGTCTCATGGAGGCCTCTATGGTCATTTCAGTCTCTAATCTTACAAACATCCAGTAAGCTTATCTGTCCTCAAATCCCAACACCCCCTTGGATAGTTAATCATTTTTTTTTTTTTTTACTATTTATAAACACTGTTGTCTGCCATGTTTTTCTCCAAAGGAGTGCTGTCTTGCAGAGAAACATACTCTTGTGTGGTGGAGTATACCAAGCCATAGGAATGATCCCCGCCTCCTCTCTGACACAGAGGGCTCATTTTACTTGAAGAAATTAAGAAAGTTTGAGCTCACTTTCCCCACTTTTCCTGGTAGTGAGTAATTAAATATTTAATTCATAATAAAATATATGCAAATAAATTAGGAACCTGAATATAAACAGCTCCGGAATCATAAATGTAAAATGTTAAGAACTCATAGGAATCAGGCACAATGATCTGTGCCTAAGGGTGGATTCCCTAACAGAGAAGTATAAAGAGACTCTGTTAGGTGACTACCATAATGAGCCATGACGCCACATGTTTTAAATGTTTTTTTTTTTCTCTTTCTTTCAACAGTATGTGAGGTAGACATTACCATTCCCACTTTACAGATGGAGACCCTGAGATTCACAGTAAGAAAGAGACGTGGTCAAAATCACACTGGCCAGAAAAAGAGTAGTTATTTAATCTTATCTGGCTCCGTATCTTCTTCCTTTCATTCAATCACCACTCTAGAATATTCAAGATGGTACTGATTTACTTCTTTTCTTTTTTTTTTTTCCCTCTGTGTTCTTTCAATCCTGTGATGCTCCAAAGATGAAGAAAAGATGATGGGGTCAAATCATTACTGATCTGAAGCCAGAGTCATCTTAGATGAAATTCCAAGTGTCCCTTTGATTCCCCTACCACCTCTATGTTCCCTATCCCAACACTTAGCACACCATATTTTGTGGCTGTTTATGCTTTTATAGCAGATGCAAGTCTCTGAGCTCCTAAGAACATGAGCAATATCCAATTCATCTTTGGACCCCTGTCACCTAGAAAGCTTTGTGGCTAGGGATGGTTCTCCGATGCTCTGTGTCTCACTGATGGGAAAGAAGATGCCATCACTTAGCTCAGCCCATCACGTTGCAGCATACCACCTATGATCTAGTGGCCTCTCCTTCCCATCTTGACAGCTCAGGGGAGCACCAAGCTCACAAGGAGTCCATCCCATGTAGCATCCCTGGATTTTGCATCTCTGCTCCAAATTCTCATTCACAAAGCGTGGGCCCTAACTCAGGATGCTAGAATCCCTTTCATTACATATTATCAGATTCTAAAAAATATCTTGGCAAGATGGAGTTAAGAGTAAGTAATTGCTGAGCTCAGGTGTGTAGTGTGCATGCCCGTGGCTGAGCCCAGCTGTGACTCTGCTGTGACTACCATGATGAGCACACGATTGCATTCATGTTAGAACAGAGGGGAACAAATGACAAGGGCTGAATCTTTTCCTCTGTGCCTCAGGAGGTCTGCATGTGGGCTCTGCTCCTTGCATTCTTCCTCATACAGTATATGGACAGGCTGATGAAGGACCAATGGTCTCTTCTTTAGAATGAAAGGAACTGGCTTGGTAATGAGTAATCCAGAGAAGAGAAGGAGGAAAAAGAAAAAATATTATATATAAACGAAAGTGGTTATTTTTCTTTTTTAATTTGGCCCCTGCAAAAAAAAAAAAATCTCCTTTCTCATTACTAGCTACTTTCCCTATGTGGCCTTTCCTGTAGCTATACCTGTCTGTCCATCCACATATCCATCCTTTATTCAACACTATTTATCAAATGACTGCTATATACACATTGCACTAAGGAAAGTGACATAATAGCGAACATTTCTATCTCCTTCACCTCTAGACCTTACATTCTAGTGAAGAAGAAGTCTTTAATCAAATAATCACACATGTAATTGGCCAGCTTCTACTCTGATAAGAGATATGAAGGAGAAGTACATGATGCTATTAGAGTAAAGCGTTTGATTTAGTCAGGGAGCTCAGTAAAGGTGTCCCTGAGGAAATGACATTTCAGCTGAGATGATAAAGATGAGTAGGAGTTAATTAGGTGGGGGTGGAGGAGGGAGACTTTCTAGAGACAAGGAACAGCATGAGAAAGTCTCTGCTGCTTAGAAATTTCTCCCATCACTGGTTTTACTCCTGTTGCTATTTTACACGAGGAAAACAACCTGTCCTTCAAGATCTAGTGCAAATATTGCTCCTCCAAAATGCCTTCCCTAAATCACCCCCTGGGTACTCTGTGCTTCAACAGCTTCTTGTCCTTGCTTTGGTTACAGTCTTGGTATGTCATGTTAGAATTCTCTCTTAAATTATCTATTTTATTCACTGTGAGTCTTTCTCTAATTGTTTATTTTATTTACAAGGACTAAGAGTCATCCATTTTTGTCCCCCAGATTTCCTAGCAAAATGGTAATTTGAGCAAAACTTTTGTCAAATAAATGTTCGGTGAATGTTTACTTAATAAAATGATGGATGAATGGATTGATGAAGGACAGGAAAATATCACAGGTGAGTGATAGTTACTTTTTCATTCGAATAAAACCATTGTTTTATTCTTAGACTAGTGACTAGCATATAATAGGCACTCAGTGAAACTTTGATGGACAAGCAAGGGATCATCTTTGAACACAACCAGGAGCAGAGGAGAAGGGGCTAAGCGCCACCCAAACACTTTCTCTATCTTGGCTATCTCAAGAGACACTCAAAGCTTGATGATTCCTCCCTGCTCTCAGGATTTATTCCTCTTCTAAGCATACTTTCAGCCTTTAATAAGATACAAACTATTAACTCTTAGCCAAGGGAAAGGAGAAGATCAGGGGCACCTGCAAGGGCGAAAGTGATAAGCATCACTGTCAGGGCTCGGAGCCTGACAGGTAAGGGTCTCTGGGGCCTCACTGCTGAGTCAAAGGAGAGATCGAATTCTGCTGTCACACTGGTTGCTCAGACTGCCGACTCAGCAGAAGGGGTGCCCAGGTAACTGAAGCTGCCTTTTCCAAAAATGCTGGACTGATCCAGAGAGATGGAGCAACAGCTGCAAGGTTTTGGTTTTGCCATTTCCTGGCTGCAGCTTGAAAGAGTGGGAGTTCTTCAATACTGCAATGTCAAGTGCCCTGAGAAGCTGCCACACCTCACAGAAAGAAGTGTGTAGCCCAGACTGTCTTGTGACACAGATCGGGGAATGGCTCATGGCAGGGGGTAGCCTCATGGAAGAGAAAAGCAGCAGCCCAGAAGTCAGAGACCTAGGCTCTTGCTTTGGCTCTGTAGCTCTCATGCTGTTCAAACACAGACCAGTCCCTTCCCTCTCTGGCCTTCATATCCTAGTGTGTACAAAAAGCAAGTAGAGCCAGATCACACTAAGATCCTTTCCAGTGTGGGGATCCATCAAATTCTGGACCTGGCTTCTGCTTAGGCCACCATTTCCCCATCTTTAAAATCAAATTTTAGGTTTACACAATCTAGAAGAGCCTTTCTCATCCTGCCATTTAAGAGTTCCATCAAGTGCATATTTTTCCATAGCACAATTTAGTCCATTTCACCTGCATTTTCCTTGGTGAGCTCTAGGGAGACTCACAGAGATTGGACATCCTTCTGGAGGAGATTTTGAGCCTCCGTTCTACTTCCATTTGAGAGGAACCAAATGGGGGAAGAGTGAAACATAGAAAGGTCTTTGGGTTTCATTAGCCCTCTCTGGAGGACACATCTGTATCCCAAGAACCTGCCACCTTCAAGCTTGTGACTGGCACACAGGTCCTGGTCTCCATAAGGCCAAGACTTAGGGAATGGCTCAACTGTGCATTCAAGGGTCTGAAAGGTTCTTCCATTTCAGCTCAATGGTTGGATCTAAGACATCCACATTACCTCCATGGTTGAAGAATAAGTGAATACTAAGATGTAGGGCACAAGGAACTCATCTGCAAATAAAGGTCATGAATAAAACGAAAATGAGAAAAAACTGCCTCTTGTAGCTCTGTAAAGGCTAAATGTGGTAATGATGATAAATTTCCTGGCACATTAGAGATGCTTAATCAATACTGCCTCCCTCTTTTCCTTTCTTACAGAACCAATATTATGCAGGCCACAGGCATTGGCGACAGAAAAGCCTGCCTTGGATTGCTAGCTTTGCTATCTATAACCTGTAAGCTTGAATACGTTTCTTCATGTCTCTGTGCCTCAACTGCAGCATCTGTAAAATGGGATTGCTAATCCCTGTAAGAAGTCTGCCCGATGGATATTCATGACCCTTTTTTTGGCAAGGTAAATGGTAGCCATCATAAGCACAGCATAACAACATTAGAATTATTTCTAGGTAGCTGAGGAGTATTTCCCTGTGACTCACCTCACAGCCTTTGACACAGTGAATCAGAGCAGGATGAGGATACCACTTGAGACCAGCAGTACAGACAACTCTCTGCAGAGAGATGGAGACAGAGGTCAGATGGGTTTGGGATTGGAGGCAGCCCCCTCTTTGTTGGCACCGTATTCAACCACTCCACCACTCAGGCTTTCCAAGTCCTGACCTCACCCTATATTTACATGGAGAACTTGCCCAGGTACTTGTAATAACAGGAGCCATAAGATTAAAACAATATTTGTGTTCACCGTATGTGGCATGACTCTGTATTTCCCTGGCAGGAGCAATGGTTGTGGAGAGGCGGAATTGGGAGATGGAAACATGAAGAGAAAGGGCCTTCAGAAAATTCTTGACTGATCTTGGACCTATTGGTGTAGCTGGGGATAAGGTGGGAGAAATAGAGTTTGGAGTTTGTGAGTGTGTGCATATGTGTACGTGTATGTGCATGTGTGTATGTGGCCACAGCAGGGAGATGAGAGCAAGGTGTGGAGCAGTCTCTCCAAGCAGGACCTGCGGACTGTTGTCATCAGAATTAAAAAGGCAAATTCCTGGAGTCTGTTACGTATCTAATGAATCTGAATCTCAGGGCCTAGACTCTTCATTTTCAAATCTGGCCTCTTCAATGATTCTGATGTCCACTGTGGTTTGAGAGCAAGTACTCTGGAGGATGAGCAAGCCAAACTCTGCTTGGAACCCCAGCAAAGCAGGGATCCTTCCTGTTGTCCTCATCACATGGATACAATTGGCTGAGGCTGCCTGGGCTTTTGTAACAGAATATTGTTCTTGCAGTTCCTCTTCATTAAAATACCCTTCCCCATCTGGGCACTTTAAGAATCTTTGGTATCTTTTAAATATCTCCCAAGACTTACTTCCTCTGTGGTGCATTTCCCAACCTGCTTAGGCAGCGCTTGTAGATATGCATATATGTACTTATTTATAGCCTCCCTTAATAATAATGATGATGATGGTGATGATGATAATGACAACTAAAATATACTGAGTATATTTGTGGTGCTAATTACTTTATGCATTATCTTATTTATTTCTTGCCACCCTGCTGTGAAGTGGGCATTAATCTTGTGTCACAGGAGAATAAATTCCCCAAGCTCCATAGTAGAGAAATCAAGGTTTGAAACAGGCAATTGTTCCAGAAGTGATTTAAAACGGCTTATAGCATAAAATCCAACATGATGATGTATTTTTAAAGTAAGTGAAAGAAGAATGATAAACGAAACTAGTAAGAGAAAATACTGTACAGAAAGGAACTATCATAAGAATCTTAAAAGCTCCTTTTCTACTCCCTACAGATGCCCTGATTGCTAGATTATAATTATTTTCTTAAAAAATAAAATTGTACAGGGCTGGGGTTGTGGCTCAGAGGTAGTGCACTCGCCTAGCATGTGTGAGGCACTGGGTTTGATCCTTAGCACATAAAAATAAAGATATCATGTCCACCTATAACTAAAAAATAAATATTAAAAAAATTGTACAATGGGAGGTAGTTGTGTCAGGGACCAGCAACTGAGGTCTATATGATCAGGGATAACTCTCCTGGCTGAATGCCAGTTGATTAATTTTAATTAAGAAATGAACAGTCATACGGGCCAGAATGTGGGGAATCCATGTGACCAGCCCATTCTCTCCCTGAAGGCAGACGTATATAGAAGCCAAAGTGTAATTAGGTTTCTTGGCAAGCTTGTGACAAAAGGAATCACATGACTCCAAGCTAGGAATGGGTTGGTGCCTTTCTGTTCTGCTCCACGACATCACTGGCTCATGTGTGAGATCTCATGTGCCTGGAACAGGGCCTGGCACACAGAGGAAGCCCAGTAAATACTTAGGTTATGAAGGAATAGATCCATCTCAAAGTCGAAGCCATTTTACCAATGAAAAATAACTTCCCCATTTGTTCTCTTCTCTTACAGAGTCTCAGAACTCTCAGTGCCAGGCTAAGTGCTAATTTAGGGGGCTAATTTTGTGTAGACTGAATTAAATTAGAGATCTTGAACAAGGAGCTTCACATGATGATGTGCCAATCTGTTTCTCGATGTGACATCTTCTATCTGGCTCCCTATTGACACCATCTACCATTTCCCAATACACACATAAGGTAGTCTATGAGAAGACCAAAAGATCTTGAGTAGGGCAGGTGTAGTGGCAACTATAACTTGATATTCCTTTGTAAATTTCCAATAGGAGTCTTGGTTCTTCCATGTGTGAATGGGTACTGGAAATGTCAGAGGCTTATCATGATGATGCACTGAGACAAATGGTTAGAGAAATGGTTTCTCAGATCAACTCCTGAAATTCCATAAGAGTAGGTTGAAGGCTTCAAACACTTCTTGACTCCCTCCAGGATCAGGCTTGGAGCACAGCAAGCAAATACATATTTGAGAATTGTGAATGGACTTCATATTCCTTCCTCCCTCTGCTTCCCAGCCATGGTACCAGAGTGGACAAGATCACTTGCTTTCCTCCTCTGTGAAACTTTAGTGAAATTTTTTCCTGATTCTGAATCTGCCCCCCAACCAAAATCCAACCAAAATCCAGAGATGTTGGAAGGTGATTGTAAAGATTCAGAGGTAGAAAACAGCAAGATGGGGACCCACCAGTTACTGGATCCCCATCCTTCCCCCTGCTTACCCAATAGCTAATTTAATCCATCTGTAGGAATGTCACGGTGTGGTTGTACAAGTTTCTGTCAATTGAGGTTTACCTGACGTGAGTTCAGAAAAAGGACTTTTATACTATCTGCATGAGCCTATTTATCTTTCCAAGGCTTCTGGATTTTCCACTATTACTCAGGGCTGCTGGCCCCACCTGTCTGACTACAGGGCCCCTCTGTGTGCTGGGGGAACTGGGAAAGGGGACAGGCACTGGAAGCTGAAGGAAAGGCTAAGCTGTTTATGCCACAGATTGAGAGATCCCAGAAGGGGCCCCTCAAATGTCAGCCTTGTTTCTCCAAATGCCAGTGAAGACATTTAGGCCAGGCAGAGACTTTTCAGACCAGATTTGGTAAGAAGGCTCCATTTCCTGCCTTGGTGGATAGGGAGAATAGACATGTCTCTTATTCTTGGCTTCAATTAACATCATCATACCAGCACCAGCACCTCTGCCATCATCACCACCAGCATCATCTGTAACACCACCAGTAGTATCCTTGTCACCATCAGCACCACCACTATCATCAACACCATCATCACCATCATCCTCATTAGCCCAAAAGTAAAGGAATCACATGACTGGGTACTGGAAATGTCAGAGGCTTTTCATGATGATGCACTGAGATAAATGGTTAGAGAAATGGTTTCTCAGATCAATTCCTGAAATTTAGTAAGGGTAGGTGGAAGGCTTCAAACACCTCTTGTCTCCCTCCAGGATCAGGCCATTTATAAAATAAATGAATATTATATTCTCAGTGTCATGCTTGGAGGTTTCACCTCATAGGTATTATTTTTTTACTCTGGTTTCCATAAGAGGAAACCAAGGCACCAAGAAGTTAGACAACCTGCCCCAAATCACACACACACACACACACACACATACACACACACACAGTGACAGCAATTAAATCTAAATCTGTCTGACTTCAAGGTCTACACTTTGAATACCATACGGTACTTCAAAGTCTCAGAGATTGTCATTATAAAAAATGGTCACTGAAGTTGTCATTATAAAAAATGGTCACTCAGGCAAACAATGGGAAGATCAAGGTTCAGAAAGGTGGAGAGACTCTAAGATCAGTGTAGGAGAAGCAGAGTATCTAAAAAAATGAAGGCCAGTGAAGACAGGTCCCAACCAGAGTCCAAGACATGGGGGAGAGTCTTCAGAGGGCCTCCTTGTGCTAAGGCCCAGATCTGATCCCCTCTTAGATGTCTACTCAGATAAGTTCTCCTTCTCCCTTGACTTACAGGTCCTGCTCCTAGTGAATCCTATCAAATAGTGTTATCAGCCTTTTGTAATCTGTCACGGAGCTTCTGGTTTCTTCCATGTGCTATCATGGAAGCCCCTAGTGTTTAAAGCACACCTGCCATTGGGAAGTACAAGATCAATGTTTATGCATGAAGGAACAAACAAACAAATGAGCAAAGGAGTGAATGAATGAGTGGGTCCATAAGTGAATGAGAAATTACTTAATATACTCTGGCTGCATCTCTTCACTGTAAGCTTCCCCTCTGGGGAAACTGGTATCTTCATCTACACGGAAGATGGACTGGACTTACTAGTCACAACCATTCTACCTATGACCTTCAGACTCTTGGGATGGCGGTCCATCATGTCATCTTCTTTTCAGGGAAGCAATTCTGCATCCTCTGTCTGCATGTACTGCATGTGTCTGTTTTTTCAAAATGTGGAGGGTGATTGACTTAAAGGATGTAATGAAGCAGAATTAGCTAATTCAACTACACTGGTTATGTAAACCAGGCAGCTGTCACCTCTCTGAGCCTCATCTTCAACTGTAAAGTGAGGTGCAGTTCTCATTGGATGTGACAGAGACACAGTAAGGTGACATCTATGGCCTCTTCCCTCCTCATTCCCTATTTCACTCCATTCCTCTCTTTCCTCCTCCCATTCTTTTTATAGAAACCATTGTTAAAGCCAAAGGCTCTCCTACCAGAAGGAATCCTAAGGACACATTTTATGTAAATCTCCCAGCATCCCTCAGCAAAGAGCATTGCAGGGGCAGATTGGCCATGCTTCTTAGGAGCTGATAGGAAAAGCTTCCATCCCCAGAATTCAGATATCAAGGCTAGAAGAGTCTATCTCATCCTAAACTTTCAATCTTGCACCTTCTAGGCTACACAACCTGCAGAAATGTTTGCTATGGCACTCCAGTGACTAAGACTGTCAGAATTAGTTGTCAATACTAAAAGAAAAGAAAAAAGAGATTTCAGATTTTAAAAAGAGATTTCAAATTCATTGTACTGAAGAAAAAACAAAATATGTGACCGCACAAGGCCCACATTTCCTCATTGCTGCCTTTGACTAGACCCACCTCCCACCGGAAGTGGCTACAAAAATGATGTGCTTTTTTTTTTTTTTAATAGTTCACCACATTCCCCGCCCTTCTTTGCTTTCTCTCCAGCACCAAGACAGAGGGCATTTCTGACTATTGTTGAGTTTGCATCATATCATTCATTCAGTTCGAGGAAGAAGTCTCCATACTGCTTTCTCTTACAAAAGGGCATGTGGGGGAAGTAAAGTTGAGAAGGGGATGACTTAGGGGGAAAAAAGGGGAAATAATGTTTTTCTTTGTAGAAATTAAAATGTGGCTATGAAAGAGGCATATGAGACATATACTGTGTGATTCTAGTTATAAGTCTAAAAATCAACAAAACCAACTGCAGAGGTGGAGACTCAAAACAGCCATCCCACTGATTAGTAGGCAAGGTCCACATCCTGATTTCAGGGGTACAAAGGGCATAGGAATTGATCAATCTCAAGCCTTGTGCTTCCCATTTATGTAAGTTACATCTTAAGAAAGGGAAAATGAAAACTTCTCAAGTTTTTTTTTTTTAAGTTAGGTACTATGCACAGGGGGGTTTGTTGTATTTTTTTGTCAGTCTCTCTGTCTTTATGTAGTATTCATAGTAAACACCAGGATCACTAATGTTGATAACATGCCTAGGTGTTTAATATGTAGGATATGCCAGCCTGTTTCCCCTACTTATCCTACCTGCCAGGTTCTGCAGGTGTTTGACGGTAGGACACCGAATCTAGGCCTAGCTTTCATTTCACAAATGAGGAAACCGTGACCTAGAGAAATGATAGAATTCTCCCCAAGACATAGAGCATGAAGGCGCCAGGACTTGGACTACAGCCTCGGTCACCTGACTCAGCAACCCTATATATTTACTGAGCATCTACTGTGCACTAGGAACTGAGGGAAGTGCTACGGTAAATAAGATGACCACAATCCTGCCTGCACAAGCTCATTGTTCTCGTGTTGTTATCTTGACGCATGATCTCAGGGCTGATATTCTGCTCGTCTACATAGTCATCAGACGTGTCAGTGCGTGCAGAGACGGTTGTGGGTAAGTGTCAGTGGTGGGCCTCAGCTTGCACAGGCTCAAGAGGGCCAGAAGTGTCTGTGTCTTCCCAACTTTGTTTTCAGCGATGGATATTTACAGACCTTGACACCTGCTCTGGTGGAAGTATTTACACCACAGAAATCGGCAGACGCTATAAACATCCTCTTTTTTTTTTTTCTTTTTCTTTTTGTCTGCCCATTCCTGGTAAGCAATCAGTAAGCGTGCCTTGCCTTTGTTATTATTATTTTACATTCCCCAGGGACTGCTGGAGTTTCTGAATCAAATGGCAGCATTGGGCTGCTCTGGGTCAGGTCCCTCTCTAACTTCTCTTAGGCAAGAGGCGCCATCTCTGAGATTCCATTTCCTCTACTGATAACACCCACCTATGATGCAGGGGTGTGTGTGCGGGTGGGGAGTGCCTGGCCCAATGTCTGGTTGCAGAAGGCATCTTTTGATGGCAGTCGTGACCCCTCTCGCTGTTACTCTGGGGCAGAAGCAGGAGGTGCTGGAGCAGAACCTCACTCTAACCGTCTTCCTCGCAGTACTGCACAGAGGCCAACCCTCAGGAAGCAGAGGAGCTATCCAGGGCCTGCACCGGCAGCTTTACTTGAGCAGCTCTCAGCGCATGAAGGGCAAGGGTGCAGCAGGGGCCAGCTTTTCTGCCTTATTCCTGGAAGTCATCAATCTATGCCCTTCGCCCTCCTCCCTTTTTCTACATTTTTTTCCTCCTGGATAATGAGGCCTCCAGAGACCGGTGGAGGTCTGAACCTCGTTATGGCTCTCTCGGTAGGCTGGCATCAATAAAGGCAGGCAGACTGGGGAACTGGGTGGGGGCTGGAGCGGGCAGGCAGCGGGTGGGCGACTAGGGGGGTGGGCGGCTTGCAGGCTTTCAAATCCCTGGATTTATTTCACAGTGAATTACAACTGAACTCTTTAGTGCCCCCGGCTCACAGAGGGAAGGGTGGGAATTCACTCAAGGGATGGAAAAGACCTCAAATGAGAGCCTCACCAGGCCAGGAAGACTCTTGATACTGGGGTGACAGGGAGGTCTCTTGTGTCAGCTCTGTGGGTGAGTAACGCTCAGCTGCTTTGGGGTTTGGAGGAGCTGCCAATCACAAGTCCTGGCTGGGGGTCTAGCCGTACTGCCCGTGTGATCCCGACCATCCCTCCCTCTGCAATCCTCAGCTTCTCTGGACAACCAGGGGCTTAGATTTGGGAATCTCCAGATGCCTTGAGAATGTGACTCAGGTGCTCAGCACATCCATGTACACCAAGGCACTCTGGGAGAATCTGCGTGGGGATTCAAGCATAGGAATCGGGAAGGGCACCTGGAGGAGGAAGAGACTGATCAAGGAGCCTGAGGTGAAGGGACTCAGGATTTCCTGTGAATGTACAGAGAAAAAGAGAGAAGATGGTGATGGGCAGGGGACGAGTGGTCAGAAAGAGACAGACCAGTGTGAATGAGATAGGAGGAGAGAGAGAGAAGGAGAGCAGGAAAGTAGGGGTGGGGTAAAAGGAAATGAAATTGGAGAAACAAGGATGAAACAGAAAAGAGTGGAGTAGGAGGAGAGACAGTGGAAGGGAGGTGGAGGGGAGACACAGACCAGGGTGCACAGGGAAGCCAAGGGTTCTGGCCAAGTCCACTTGCCCAGAGCGCTGAGTAAGCCCTGGAAACCGTGCCCTCAGCTCATTTGAGAAACAGTACACCCCGTATCAGGTTCTGGCCAGCTATCCGGGGCTCAATCTGCAGCAGGCGGGCAGGCGGCAGTTCCTGACACCCCAGGCAGAAAGGCTGGTGGAGGGATATAGAGCTGGCTGAACCTCACCTGCCCCCACCTCCTTCTCTCACTTCTCCAAGGTAAGGAGCCAATGTCCAGACCAATCCATGAGGCCTGGGAACCATGCTGCCCTGGAGGACAAGAATGGGTTCCACCTCAGCTTGGGGTCCCTAGCTGATCAGGTGACATCAGGGAAAGTGAGAGCCACCAACCTCAGAGGCAAACTGACACTGTTACAGGTGGGGGCCTCCACAGTCATCTGGCCAGGAGAATGGGAGCTTTGTGCTGTGGGAAGTGCATGGTGTTGGGACTTGGGTTTGGGTTCAAGCCCTTGCTTTGGGTTCTTCAAAACACTCTGAGGTCTCAGTGTCCAGGAGTGCAAACAACCACACCCCCTCCTTCCTCCTACCATCAGTAGTGGGTTTAAATGTTATCTTGTGTGCAAAGCCCCAGGCACATGAACAAGGTAAGTGCTCCATAAACAAGAGGTGTGACTATTCCCTGTGGTTAGTGCACATAGTAATTGCTTCCCACCAAACTGGTAAAGCATGAAGAAAGAGTCCCCCAATCCAAGGCTACATAAAGTGCTCAGCTACAAGGAGGGTGTTAGAGAAGCCAAACAGCACCACTTTACATCCCACCGACATTAGACTGAGACCTGGCTCTGTACCCCCTACCTATGTGTTCTTGGTGCCTCAGTTTCCTCACCTGTACACTAGGTACATTAGGACTCTTATTCCTACTCTTTTATCAGAACTCAGAGGGACAATAAATAAAAGTCCCTCAGCACAGAGCCTGATGGGAAGTATTAAATAATTATGGTCTGGAGAAGGATTGTGAGCTAGCCCCCACTCTAAAGGGAGGTATGATGATTAAATGTGACAGTAGTGGCAAAGGAATGAATTTTAGGCTGGGACATGGTAAGGGCTCTACAATGGCACCTCCCTCCTCATCAGCTGCAGCTGGATGGCCCTGGTCACTCACCTCCACTCGTGTGGGGTTCAGCCAGTGGGGGATGTCACGCACGGTCACATTCGTGGGCAGGATGATGGACTCGCTGTTGTGGTCCAGGCACGAGGTGGCACACTCTGACCCTGAAGGGAAACACAGCACAAGGTGGCATCTTAGCCCGTTTCCCAGTGGCCACCAGCTGCCTTCTCATAGAGTGGGCATGGCCGCTCCCTGGTCCCCAGTGGACATGGCTGTCCCAACCTCAGGGCAGTGGAAAGGAGTGAACTCTCTTGGCAGGGCCACCTCTGGTCTCCCTGACTCCAACCACTTGTCTCCAGTCCAGCTGGCAGCTACCATTTCCTTGGCCCTGAGCCTAGTTGGGTCATGATCCTCTTCTGCTCGGAAACCTTTCCCGTGTTGCCCACATCCAGGACAAAGTCCAGTCCACTCTGCTTGCCCTTCAGTGCCTCTCATGATCCGGTCAGTTTTCTCTCCACCTTCTTGACTCAGTTCGTCCAGTGGCACTGAACTCTATACACTTGGGCTTCCATCTGAGCCCCAAACTTTTCTACCTCTGCTTCTGTTCCTATTCACCCCATCTGTTCATATATCCCCCAAGACTACCTTCCCATAACCAAACCCTATCAGTTCTTTAAGACCTTTTCAACCACCCCCAAGATGTCTACGCTGATTTCTGCATCTTCTCAATGACTACTGCATTTGATCACTCTTTCGGATGGGCACTGATGAGTTTCTCTTTCCCCCTTCTGCCCCAGCTCCACAGTCAGATTGTTGCCTAGGAGGGTAGGCAACACCCTGGGCATCTACCAAGTGAGAGATGAGGACATAAATGCAACTCAGCCCCTTAGTCCCCATGTTCCCCTTCTACTGAGCTCTGGTCCCTACCTCTCCTGGGCCTTCTGGACCCTTCCCATTCCTCTTCAACTTGCACATTACTAATGACCCTCCTCCAGACTTCAGCACAAGTACCACTTGCCCAGAGAGGACCCATGGCTTCATGCCAGGCCAATCCTTACAAGCACCCATCATCCATTTGTCACATTGCCATTTCTCATTTGTTCAACGAGTGTTATATCAATAGTTTTCTTTCCTGATTGACTGTAACTCCATGGGGTCAGCACCATCCATGTTCCCCATTCTATGCTCAGAGCCTGAAATGAGTGACAGTCTGAATGAGTGAGTGAGTGCATCACTGGACAAGGAAATGCGTGCATGAATGGATGGAGGAGTGAGGGATAAGTGTCTAGGTATCTTATGAAGGAGGAAGTGAGTGCATACCTGCATGTGTGAGTGGGTAAATGACGGATTAAACAGATAAAGGAATAGAAAATGAATCAGGTGATGAGTCAATGGCAGGAAGGATGATTAACAGGGACAGGTTTAGAACACAGAAGTGTCTCGTCCAGGGATTTCAGGGTGAAGACGGTTGACCTTCAGGCTGTGGGTTGGCAGGTTGACTATGACTTGGCTCATTCTTTTTCCAGTAGGACCTCACAGGCTCTGTGGTCTCCTGAAAATAAAGCTTATCCCATTGGATGTTCCCAGGACTCCAAAAGGGTCCTTATCCATGTGGGCAAGAACTGCCCTGTCAGAATCTGACCAGACACTGAGGAGGTCACCTCTCTGCCCTGGTGCCAAAACAACCCTCTGAACACTAAACGGTCGCTGAAAGTGAGCCAAGTCTTTCTCTCAATATTCTATTTAATTAGCCTTTCTAAACCCCTCCTCCCACATGTAGATAATGTGTGTGTGTGAGCACACACATGCTTACACGCATATATGTACATAATCTCTCCACGACCCTTTCCTTTCACCATCTTACCATGATCTTCAGCCTGAGAAGCTCACAAGGGCCAAAGACAAAGTTGGGGTTGGTGTCAAGTCCAGAACAATGTTTAAAACCCATCCATTTAAATATGGGGACACCCCCAGCCATCAGGTGGTTTTCCTAAGTCACTTCAGTCCCTAGCAGCTCCAGCCCTGGGACACAGGTGTCCTTACACCCCTTTGGTAGGTTACAAAGCCACAGGCCCTGCAAAGGACAAGGTGTGGCCACACAGAGAAGAGCGAGGGAGACAGTAGAAGAGCACAGAGCTGGTGAAGGGCAGAGGAGAGGAAAGAAACGGGGTGGGGGACATAAGAAGATGAAAGGGGGCGAGAGTCAGATACTTAGGGAGAATCAGGGGTGTATGTTTTGTCATGAGACCAGTCTGAAAGGAGCTTTAGGGAGCAAAGATGAGACAAGACTGTGATGATAAAATTCTTGTGGAAAATGCTTCCTCTGAGATGCATCACTCAACAGACAAAGGCTGTCTAAGCTCTGGGAAGAGGAGGAAATGGGGTCCACACCGGGGGGCCCTGGCTGTCCTCTGCAGCAGTCCTGCCTTCCTGCCCTCCTTTCTCTCTGCTCCCCTCCCCCAAGCCTGGCTCCTGGGCTTCAGGACCAGGCTGTGTGTTGTGATCTATGAGCCATAATTGGTATCATTACAGAGTGGTGATCTCACTGAGCCCCGCCTCCCCTTCCCTGGAGGCGCAGGAGGTGGCAGGCCAGTGGCAGCAGCAGCCACGCCGGCAGCAACAGCCATCTACAGGCTCATATCTGCCACAGGAGCCTCCCCAGGCTGCTTGGGAGGGCCAGGCTGGGCTGGGTGACTCCAGACTGTGCCTTCCAGCCCCCACCCGCTGCACACAGGCTTATAAGGTCTCTGATCAAAACCCTGTTCCTGGGCAGGTGGGCTCTCCCCAGGCAGTGCTCAGCCTGGGGGCTGGACAAGGGGCTTTGTGGGAGCCCAGAAAAAGGGAAGGGAGCATCTTTCCTCCCTTCTCATTGTCTTCCTCAGTCTCCCTGAGTTCCACGTGGGTCCCTGTGTACTGTCACCCTCCTGGATATTGTGTTCATAGGATGGGCATTTAGGGTCCCATGGGTTCTGGGACCCGTTTGTTTTCCAATGTCATACAGATTTCTTTCTCTTTCTGCTTTGACCTTGAAAAAGCTCAGTGGTAAAGGAATCCTGCCCTGACACACACCCCTTCCTCTCTCTCTAGACAGTTCTGAGGAGAGTGGAGAGCCAGGCATTGGAGTTCATTTGCATGTGGTTGTAACATGTGAATACAGTATGCACACAATGTGGCCGTGTCATCTACTCGTGTAAATGTGTGCGTGAGCTCTGTGCAGCTTTGTGCGTTTGATATATTTGGGGGCCTACAATGTGTTGATGGCCCTGAAAGATGTGTACTTGTGTACTGCGTGAGTGTTTGCTATGTGTAGGTTATGTGCTTCGTGTGTGTGTGTGTGTGTGTTTGTGTGGAGCCTTAAAATCTTAACGATATTATATCAATTAAATAGAACAACTTGATTATTAACTTCTAAAAGTCGTAATTCTGACACAATTGTGTGATATTTGGATGATCTGCAGGTGTGGGGCCTGAACTTACTGTACAGTGTGGGGGTGTGTGTGACGCTGCATTTGGTTACAAAGCACTTATGCATGTGGTGTGTGTTTATAGGTGTGTGAATGTATTTGAATGTGTCCAAGTATAGACACACAGTAAATCTACTTCTCTAGTTTTCTTTTTTTTTTTTAAGAAATGTTATTAATCAGAACTTTACCCACAGGGATTCTTAATGTCAGTCACAAGCATGATCATTCACTGGTCTATTCTGATTGCGTTGGGGACAGGGACCCCATCGTAGCCGTGCGTGTCCAGGGTCATGCATGCCCATCTGGATGCAGCAGCCACTGTTGCTCACCAGGGAGGCAACTGTTGCACAGACAAGAATGTCAATCTTGGCTGGCCCCACAAGATCCCATCTCTCTACAACCCTCTTGGTCACGGTCATTTGGATTAATGGGCTCTGTAATATCTTAAAGTTCCTTCTGAACCATCAGAGAGAGAGCATATCCATGTGCTTTGGTGTTTTCTGATGCTTGCAGAACAACTACCCTAGGCAAACACAGAAATGCTGATTCCTATCCCACATTTAGATGAAGAACTTCTGCCCTCTGAGGAGGTGGACAGTGCCCCAAGGGTCTCCACTCTCCAACCACAGGCCTTGATTCCTGAAATGCCGTGTCGACTCCCAGCATGCCAGTTAAAGATGTTGCCTCTGTGGATATTCAGATAACCTCTGCCCAAGAGAACTCTGGCAACTTCCCATAAATCACACTGGCCATGAGAAAAGACATTCGATTCCCTGGGCTTTTCATCATGGTCAATTAGGGAATCAGATCAAGAGGTCAGCATCACTGCCCTGGAATGAGGTCAGGCTCCATGGGCTCCGAGTTCTCGGCAAAGTCGTACAGCTGGTGATGGATGCCTCTGTCCAGAATCCTGGTTTCAACCAGAGAATCCCTGGCATCGGGTCCCAGGTTGAATCCTTCACTGTGCATTTCTCAAAGTGGCCTATCACTGCACAAACAGTAACTTGAAAATGCTGATTATCTTCCCTGGGAGGCATCTCAGATGTCATGGAAAGGAGCCAGGCTTTGAGGAGGCCAGGTCTCAGGACTTGGGGGCACACTTCATGGCCTCTCCAGGTTCAATTGTCTCATCTGTTAACATTATTGAGAGGAAAGGAAATGATGCCCTTTAAGTCCTTGACCCAGGGCCTGACCCCATGGCAGGTGCTCATTGACATTTAGTGTGGTACAAATTTTAAGAGTTACAATGAAAGCAGGTACACAGGCTTCCTATAATTTCCCTAGACATGATTCCTACTCTCATATCTCCTGCCCCTTGGTCCCATGGTTTCTGGATGCCCTTTCTTAACTGGCAGGCTCTTTCGAATCTCTGGGTAAGCATCCCTTCCTTCAGAAGCCCCTACTTGGCATGCAGCAGGTTTCTCTGCTGTTGACTCTGCCCATCCATCTGCCATGACTTCACCAATGCCCCATCTCTGACCCCCTTTCTCGAGGTCAGGGTCTAGTCTCATTTGCTGTTTCCCTGATGCCCATGCAGGATCTCACATGGAGAGCTGCTCGGTGACCCACCCAGGCACCCAGTTCCTGGGAGGACCCAGCCTCCCACTGCTCCCCTTGTCAGCCCATCATACCTATGGCGTAGCCGTCGGGGCACTGCAGTTTGAGGTTGCTGTTGAGCTGGGTCGGGGCTGAGCACTGGCCTTGCATCTCCTGGCAGACATGGAAGGAACCACTCCAGGTGCCATCTTTCCGGCAGTGGATGATGTTACTCCCGCGTCCCTGAACAGCACAGGTACAGAGTCAGGGACCCCAACTATCCATAGGACAAACCTCTCAGAGTACAAAGAAACCAAAGTCTCATTTCCCACAGGGCTGAAAGTGTTCCAAAACGATTTCTTAACAGGGGCTGGCCCTCAGTCATCCTGAAAGAGGGGGACAGTTAATATCTCCATTTTAAAGATAGAGAAACTGAGAACTCTAAACAGGAAGGAACTTGCTCCAAGCTTTCTACACAATGTAACTCCAGGTTTCCTAAGGTCTGAGCACAGTGATCTTTCAGAAATTTCAACCTAAGCTATTGTGCTTGGATTTGTGCTATTGATTTTGTTGTCTTTTTTATAAAATCGAGATGGTGGGAGTCCACTAGCTCCCCTACTTTTTGAGCCAGTGAGAGAGAGTATCTTGGCAGATTTACCAAAGCTTGGTTTCTCTTGGCCTGTGAGAAAGCATCCTACGTCAGGGTTCTGCCTGGCATTCGCTGGGTCACCCCAGCCCAGCTGAGAAGCTTTGCCTTCCGTGGCCTCCCTCCCTCCCTCCCTTTTCCTTCTCTTCCTTCTCTCCCTGTCTCTCCTTTCCCCTGTCCTTCACTTCCAGCAGTAATAGCACCAAAAGAAGGGTGTGGGGCTACTTCTAGTTGTCACCCGCCCACACCTTTTTTAAATAGGCAACGTATTGTCCCTCAATCTACAAAATATTAGGCAAATGCAGCAGACAGGCCCTTCTTCAAGCCCCTTCCAACCTCCAGGATTCCAGTGGGTGGTTCTTCCTTTGTAGGTATTTGAGAACTGCCACCAAATTCAAGGAATAGTCCTACTCTCTGCCCAGCTCTGTAGGGTAAAAACACAGGGGACCACTATCTGCCCAGGGAGCTGGTGGGAAAGGTGGGCATGGGAACAGCTGGCCATGTCCCTGTAACTGTGCTCAGTGACACAGAGGGCCCCTGGAGCTGTGAGTACTTGGGGAAAGGCAACTGGTGGTGAGTGTACAACCAGGGAAGGCCTCTTAGAGGAGGTGGTACACGGAAAAGAGAGTGAAAGGATGGGAAGAATTCAGGAATCAAAGAACATGCTGGAAGATGGGCATGTGGAAATGCCAGGTAAGGTGGGCACAGCAGAGCCTGGTGGTGTTGGGGGTCTGTGATTCCGGGAAGGAAGAAAAGCAGATGAGGTGTGGGCTCTGGAACCAACTTAAGGAATTCTGACTCTCCCCAAGGAAATGGAGGGGTCAGGATGGTTTCTTCACATGGGGTCTTTCTTGCAAAAGATTTCAGAACAAGCTGTACATGCTCTCCCTCTCCTATAATAAAATGAGAGACTCAACATGGTAACCTTGAGCTTTCGTTTAGATTCCTTCTCTGCCCTCCAGGGCCCTCCCAGCTCACTTCTTCCTGGTGCTCCCCCTCAAGGTCCTCCTTAGCACCCTGGAGGCCAGTTTCAACTACCTGCAGTCCAGAAGGCCCACGTATTGTGCTTTCTATTATTTGTGTGTGTGTGTGTGTGTGTGTGTGTGTGCGCGCGCGCGCGTGCTTTTTGATCCTCTATGCCCCTATCTCCCTGTCCACCTGGCAAACACCTTATCTATGGGGACCCTGTTTGACATAATTCCACCCCAATTCTGCACAGTGCACTACCTCAGTATCTCTGACACAGTGTCATCTCCTGGTTTAGTCTGGTTCCCCCACTAGTTAACGAGCTCCTCAAGGCCAAAGATGGTACCCTACTTGGCCCTGTATCCTCGGGGCTTCTACAATGTCCGGCCCTTCAGTGCACTCACATATCACTCAACAGATATCTTGTTCATCTGGAACTGGATTTTTAACCAAAGATGGGGCGAATAAGTGGAGAGTGATGAAATGAAATATTTTTCTAATAAACAGGAAAATACATGAATGCATAATTGAGGGAATAAATGCATAAGTGAGTAAACAGAGAAGTGTGGGAATAAATGCAGAAAAAGTGAGTGCAGAGAGACATGAATAAACTCTTTGAAAGGGCTGATGTGGACGGAAGCTTCCCTGTCTGAGAAAACAGCTGCAAGGAGACAGGATTCAGAACAGAAAGGGGGCCTCCTCTCTGGGTCTCGCCTGGGGCCAGCAGGAGAGGGTGCAGTTGTAGTAGAAGCCCCTCTGGCCATGGGAGAAGTTGGCCTCTCCCAAGCTGCGGGGCAACCGGCAGAGTCCCTCTCAGTGCTTCTGTGTGAGCTTATGGCAGATTTATGCAGCTCCATGTGGCTTTAGAGAACCTAGACTCTCCCTTTTGGAGCCCCAGGCTCTAGGCCCCATGATTCTGCTGGGCCCTCGAGGGAGTAGGAAGTTGACCCCAATTTCCTGGAGCCTTGGCCTGGGCCTATGATGCACTTGGCCTCTAGCCCCTGTAGGGCTGCAGACCTCAGCACTACACGGGCCAGAGCTGGCTGGAGAGCAGGATTTGCAGCAAAGAATATATTAGAACTAACTGGAATCTGCTCAGGGAGATGCAAACAGGGGAGGCCTCGCCATAGAAGGTGCAAGCAGAAAGCACTGGTCTTGCTGCCTCCAGTCTGTCTGTCTTTCTCTCTCTTGCTTGCTCGCTTACTCTGTGTGTATGTCTAGTTCATCTGGCACTTTCTGCTGTTGCATTTGCCTTAAAAATCACAGCAGCCCTCTGCTAGGCTATCTTAGCCTTCAGAATAAGACAGTCTTGTGGGCCAGCATTCAGGGCTTCCACAATGGAACCCAGAGGACACTTCCAGCCGTGCTTCCTGCTAAGCACACATCCTCCCTTCCGGAAAAGTTAACCCTGCACACCTCTCTTGCTCCCCTGCATCTTTGCATGTGCTGTGCCCTACACAGCAGATACCTTGGGGTCTCTAGGTGTTGAGATCCTTCCTTGGAACTACATCTCAGTGTGCTCAGCATTTGCCCACCACCTGCTTACACAGCAGATTCTTGCTGATCACTGAGTTGAATTTGACCACAGGGGATTTGATGATACTCAGGATCCAATCTGGGAAGACCAGAGACCACGACTGTGGATGCTGTCAGAGAACTGAACCAATGGCTTGGGTTTGGCTCCAAACACACAATTCTGCCTGCTAAGGTAGAATCTCACAAGAGCACTGAGCATTCTTCACCAAAACAGTTCACCTCTCTGTGCCCATGCACCTGTCTGTAAAAACCATGTGGTATGCTCTTGGTGCCTCTATATCTTTAACCACTCAGATCCACAGAGAGCAAAAGGCACTTTAATAATTCTATTTTTGAATATCTCTTACATGCCAAATGCTCTCAAAACCATTTCAACAATTCAGTAGAACAGAAATCATTTCCTTTCTACAGATTTGAAAACTGAGGCTCAGAAACAAAGTGTAAAAGCTGAGAGCTTTTGTACCACGCCAGTGGAATGGTTAAGAACATGGACTGGGCTGGGGTTGTGGCTCAGTGGTAGAGCACTCACCTAGCATGTGCGAGGCCCTGGGTTCGATCCTCAGCACCACATAAAAATAAATAAACAAAATAAAGGTATTGTGTACAATTAAAAAATAAAAAAAGAACATGGACTTACACTGCCCAGGTTCAGAAGCCAGTTCTGCAACTTCCCAGCTGTGTGAACTTTGGCAAGCTCCTTAACTGCCTGTCCCTCAATTTCCTGGACTGTTCAATGGACATGAAGTCCCCTACCCAGGAGTCACCATGAGTACTGAGGAGTCAGTTTGGGTAATATGTTTAAAGTCTAAGGCACACCCTGGGGTGACCATCAGTTGATGCTCAGGACCACTTTACTGCTTTGTCTTGAAGGGAACTCCAGAATCAAGCTAGCAACAATGTGGTTTAGAAATCGCAGGAGCCAGAAAGAGGAGGCAATTGGGTCTAAGGGTAGCCAATGCACGGCACTGGCCTCTGGGTGCCTCTACTACCATGGAGGGTGAAGGAGAGCAGAAGGAGAATGAGGCTGCTTCCGCTGGATTAAATAAAAATCAGCAAAATAATAATGGCAGAGGGAAACGTGGTGACATTGGAGCCCGATAGCAACAGACAGCGTGGATGCCTCTTGTGGCTGAGGTGCTTACTGAAGCCATCACTGTGAAGCAACTTGGCTCAGCAACTCGCACAGAGTGAGTGTTCACCAAGTGCCAGCTGCTGCTGGTCATTTTCCTCTACTTCCTGTCAAGTCCAGGGGTGACAGGTAGCCCCAGTAATGAAGATGGGCAGAAACGGTGTCTTGTGCCATGTTGTGGTACAGAGATTTAGCTTGAGGCCTGACTCTTCCAATAACTTGTGCAACTCAGGGTAAGTCTCTTCTTACCCTGTTTAGAAACAAAGGGACAAGCAGGACCTTGGAGTGGAATACCCCTTATTATCTCAGAACTGCGGAAAAGAACTGAGCCTCCTCATCTACAAAATGGGAATGCCGTTTCTTTTTTTGAAATTTATCATGCGTTATCAAAATAAGAATCTTCAACAGTGGCTTGGCACTCATAGAACACTAAAAGAAATAGTTGTTTTAAAGTTCTCTGTCTTGATTTAGAGGGACCAGAACATACAAATGCTAGAGCTGAACAGTGCAATACCCTAAGTATAACTGTAGCTGTTTACATTTAAATTTGAATTGATTAAAATGAAATGGAACTTAACATTGAGTTGCTCGGTCATGGTAAGCATGTGTCCACTGCTCGGAAGCCACATGGGGGCAAGTGATGTGCTACAGATTGACCACTGTAGAAAGTTCTACTGGGCAGGGCTGGTCTAGCGGGACTAGTGGACCATTTTATTCTGCAGATTTATTTGGGCAAGAGGCCAGGTTTCACCAGGGCTCACACAGGTCTCCCCACACCACATCTGGCCTGTCTCTGACTTTCTGAGTCCGCCAGCAGGGGGCTACGTTTCAGTCTTGCCTTTGTTTCTCACATCAGGGATTATCTGCTCCAGAATGACCTCAAAGGCAGGTGAGTTCATTTTTGTCTTCCCAGGGGCAAACAGAGGATGCTGCGGGTTGTACAGAGCAGAACTCCAAGGGTACCCCTAGCCACACCCTACTTTCACTGCCTGCTCAGTCCTCCCAAGTACACTATGAAGTAGGTAGTAACCTGCACGCGGAAACCAAGGAAACCAAAGCTCAAGAGGTAAGTAACTGGTCCTCCAGCTGCTAGTGGTGAAGCCGGGATCCTAACTCAGGTTCCAGATCCACCATCTTTCTGGCTCCCATGAAATAAATGGAGGTTTTATTTATCAATTTGCTTTTAGTGGCGGTGGGAGGGAGTGTGTGAGTCTTTCCCTAGAGTAGCCCCCGGCCTTTCCTGCCAGGATCTGGAAGTTGTTTGGAAAGCTCGGTATTTCTGCACTTTACAAGCTGTTCCATTCAAGATGCTCTGGGCCATACGTTTCTTCTGTTTACAGGCAGGGAGAGGGGATCTGAGGTGAATCCCAGCCTTGGCTCTCAGGCCTCTGGTCTGAGGGAAGAGGAAATCCATTTGCAGAACAAACTAGACACGTCAATTGTATTAGGAGCCCATTTGGCACGGACGCCCTCACCCTTCAAGCCTACAAGCAATACTCTGCTCGGCCGTCTAGCCTCTCCACCCTCCGCCAAACAGAACTGCTCTAGTCGCCTGATAAATTTACATTTTCCTCTCCTTTAAATACAAACTGGCCATGAAAGTTACTTGGCAGGACCCAGGCCGACTGAGTTTCGTTTGATAACACGACCACGGCCAGAATATCATTGACTCAGCAGTTTGGGTAACGGTTAGCAACAGGTTTATGTAAGGGAGCGTGAGAGAAGCTGATTGGCCTGTGAGAGGCCCTAGTAGCCTCTGGCCTCTACTGTTTCCAGCACTGGTTCCTGCTGCCCTGGCAGGCAAGGGTGGGAGGGCTCCCCTGAGTGTGTACAGCTTGCACAAGTGTGCACCAAAGCCGAGGAGTGTGTGCTGCCAAGGCTCGTCAGGTGCTGCCTGCTGGACCCAGGCTAGCTGAGGGCAACTGGGCTCTGCCTCAACTGATAGCAGCTGTGCTACCTTGGGTGTTGAGTCAACCTCTCTGAGTTCTGACTTACTCAAATATGAGAGGATATGGCTTCCACGTTTATTTCATCCTTTTCTCCTGACCTTAATTCAGCTGTCATTTCCTGGGTACCTACTAGGTGCCTGGTGCTGTCCTAAGTGCTGAAGGTGCTGCGAAGTTAAAGGAGCAGGGGGGGATTTCACAGTCTGGTGTGGGAAAGAGAAATGAAAGCAGATGATGATAATGTCCTGTGGCCAGTGCTGTGAAGGGGGAACCCAGAGAGGAGCACTGAGCCCCGAAACAGAAGAGAAGGGGCTGTGGGAGGAACAGTGCCTGGGCTGGGGCGTGGAGCGTGGTGAGGAGGACGACAGTTGGAAGGGGCGAGAGACCTGGTTAAGGCAGAGAACGCAGAGGAGGGAGGGGAGATCTGTCCTACTGGAGATGGGGAGGGTCTGCAGCCCTGCCCAAGGAGCTGGGATCTTATCCCCAAGGACAGAGGGTTCTGGCTCCTGAAGGGCTATAAGCAGAGTGATGTCATCATCAGAAGGGGAATGAACAAGAGGCTCAAAGTGGCCCGGGAAAGAGGTGATGGTGGCCCAGGTTAAGGGGGTGTCGTTGGGAACAGACAAGAAGAGCTTTGAAAGATGTTCTGGATGGACAATGGGCAGGGCTTGGGAATGGCCTGGATGAGGGAGAAGGAGAAAGAGGAGTCAAAGGTACTGCTCAGGCAGCACCTGGAGAGTGGAGGCTCAGACTAGCAAAGACCAAGAGAGACCAGAGGAGCCTGCTGACGACGAACTGCACTGTGTCCCCTTCTTCCCCAGGATTCACAAACAGCACTGCTGGCCCTGCTTTGGTCCCTTTCTCTCTGTGCCTCAGGAGACAACAGATGTCTACAGACAGTGATGCTCTAGTGACCGTAAACACACCAGGCATCGATGTAGGAGGCCATGGTAGGACAACGGCCCTGGTCCCTCCTATCAGAAAAACTTCACTCCTCAGTTTCTTACTCCGGGATTCCACATGAGACTTCCTCTAGTGCTAAAAAAAAATTAAGCTAAGAATCTTTGGACAAATAAAACAGCGTTGTAAGATGAGAAATGAAGCTGAGAGAGATTACCAGGGGAGACAGTTGGTCACTCCCACGGTGGTGATGCTGGCGTTCTACACGCCAGGCCTGGGCAGACAGGGTGCCGGAGAAGGCGGCGTTGAGGGTCAGGTGGATCTTTGGTCAGCAGAGAGGAGATGGTTGCGGGATGGATCTCAGTTTTCCACGAGGCTTACCTGGGAGGCGTCACTGTCTTCACACTTGATCCTACACTCGCTATTGAACTGGAAGCCATTGGTGCACTGGTAAAGCCCATGGAATTTGGGTGGAGGCGGGTCACAGGTCACAGGAACACAAGCGCTCTCCTGCCAGCTGCCATCCTGGGTACACTGAGTCTTGAAGGCCCGTCTTTAAGAAAGAGATGACAGAAGAGACATCGCAAGGACCAGGTGGCTAGCTCCATGCCCTCCCCAACACCAGGGGGTGGCCTCACATCTCTCTCCCTAATCTTGATTCCCTGCCTGTCCCGTTGGGTGGTGAAGCATGTACAAAGATAAAGGAAACCCCCATTCACAGAAGCCTTTCACCAGAGGCAGGCAGAACCGTCAGGTTGAGATAAAACTCAAGCTCCACATGCCCCTTTCTCTCCCTTTCTCCCCAAGTGTTTTGATGGGTGCTGGCACAACGATGACACCCACACCCACTATTTATTGAACAACTGCTATGTGAAAAGCACTTGGCAAGCACTTGGCACACAGCCTCCTTGACTCCTCACACCCACTTTACAGGGTGACTGGTACCTCCATCCTTATCTTGCCACTGAAAAATGGAGGCTGGAGAAGGGAAGGCACTTGCCTGAGACCACCTAACCACTCTGTAGCCCGGCTGGAATAACCCAGTGGCCATGACTCGGGGGTAGGTACTGGCTCCTGCAGAGCAATGAGTGGGTCCTTCCCATTGGGCAGCCGGTCTGCCTCTGCTCCTCCCCTGATCCCTTGGGGATTTTCCTAGGTACACTTACTTCTTTGACTTCCGAGAGGAGCCGGGCACGTGGTATCCTGGTTTACACTTGTACTTGCAGAAGGAGCCCACTTTGTGCTTGTTCTCTCGGCATCGGGCCGTCTGGAGGTCTGCGTTGGGCACCGGGGGTGGAGCCAGGCACATGAGCTCACACAGGGCCTCTGGGAAGGACCACAGCCCATCCTCCATACAGGTCAGGAAGCTGTTGTTGCCTGGAGCACACAGAGAGGCAGAGGTAGCCGAGAGGAATCCCTGAGAATTGAGCTAATGCTCTGGCTACCTGGATTTTTAGCCAGTTTGATGGCCCAGAGGATCCCTGATATGGAATTCCAGTTCCTTCCACCTATAACTGAGGACCCAAGGGAGCTCAAGAGAGCTGCCGTGAAGGAGAGGAGGCTCCAACTGGGGGAAATGATCACCCTGTACCTGCAGTGAGTTAAACTCCAAGGCTTCCGAAGCTGACTCTCAACCTCTCACGCTGCACCAGAAAGAGGCTTTTGCAATCCCTCCTCTCTCTCCCTTTCCTGGGCATCCTTCCCCAGAGGTGAAGGACTTGCTTTCTAACAGTTGACAGCATGCACTCCTCTCAGAACTTACTCCAAGATCTGCTATCAGTGTGCTGTGTACCACTCCCCTGAGGCCTGGGCCCCAGAATCTGTTCTGACCCGCTGGTGCCTGGAAGTGACAGCATCGTGTTATCAGGAGGTTTGACTTTCTGTCAGGCCCCGGCGCTCAGTGAAGCTCTGCCAAGGCAGCTGAGAGAACAGCACTTCCTCTCAGCCTGTGCCAGCGTGGACAGAGTGCTGATCGCCACCGGGATGCTGGCCTCATGGGGAACTTTGCAAAGAGAAGTAATACTCAGCAGTGAGGCTCCTCACTGCCAGCTCATGTATTATCAAAGCTCAGCCTGCCCGAGACTCCCTAGGACAATTACAGGAGGACCTGAAACGTGTTTCTCCATGGAACGCCCCCCTTCCTGGCTATTAGTGAATGGTGTTGACAACCAGGGCTGGAAGCCTGGGATTTGAAGGCTGGAGGGGTGGAGTGACAGGGAGGAAACTGACATTTACTGAGCAGTTACTATGTACTGAATGATTCTCCTATGCATTCTTTTTTGTTCTCATAAATCAACAGTGGGTTTTAGTGTGACCATTTTCACGTGGAAATGGAAACTCGGAGAACAAGGTGACTGGACTTCTTAGCTTGTGTTACAACCTCTATAGGAAAAGACAAAACTCAGGTTCCACATTAATTTTGTCTAATCAAAGGGATGGTTGTTTTTAATGGGAAGTTGGCTATATATGCTCAGCAGAGCCCTTATTTTCCATTCTGGGAAAGCCCACTTCAACTTTCCTAACCGTGGAAAGTAAACAGTTGCTTTCTGATGCTGAAAAGATCAAATGCACTGACAGTCATGGAAAGTGCTGTTGATGTCCTTCTTGCTTCACTTCCTCTCTCCTTCCCACCTCCTTACGCTTTCACCTTCCCTAGCAGGTTTGAAAGGAGCATGTGAGCTGCACAGAATCCTTAGTTCATTCAACAGGCATCTGTTCAGTGTTGGCTATGAGCCAGATGCTTTTATAAATTGGGGGCAAAGCAGTGACCAAAACAAAATAAAACAAACAGAAAAAAATAACCCTGCCCTTTTGGAGCTTATAATCTAAGGAGACAGGAAGAGATGCAATAAATCATACGAAAAAAGTAGATGACTTATTGTGTTAGAGGGTGGTGAGGACTATGGAGAAAAATAAAGTAGAAAAGGGAGAGAGTGATTTGCAATGAGAAGTTGGCCCCTCTGCTTTTCCTAGCAACATTCATTTCCTTCTATTTCCTCCCTTGTAAATATAATTCCTCTCATAAGAACAAGACAACTCAAGGTCTGTAAAACCCACAAAAAGCACTACATTGATAACCTGTGGTCCTGCCCATTGCAGAGACCTTCCCATTATGTAAGAAGAGTAAAGGAGCCAGGCACAGAGGTGCACGCCTGTAATCCCAGGGGTTCTGTAGGCTGAGATAGGAGGCTTCTGAGTTCAAAGCCAGCCCCAGCAAAAGTGAGGCACTAAGCAACTCAATGAGACTCTGTCTCTGAATAAAATACACACACACACACACACACACAAATAGGGCTAGTGATGTGCTTTGTCATTGAGTGTCCCTGATTTTAATACTCAGTACCACCCAAAAAAGAGTAAATGATATGCAGGGTGATTTCATTTGACTTCCACAGAAGCAGAGAAGTTTCCAGAACACCTGTAACTGCAAACTTCTCTTTGTGCTGCTTTTGGAATTGGGTTGGTCAGTGCTTTGGAGCACCCAGGCATGACATAAGCCTAGTGAGAAGGGAACTATACAAGATACGGGGAGTAAGCACTTTCCAAATTGCTCAAGAGGGATAAAATATCTGTGGACAAAGTATTGGAACTCTCTTACCCAGTACACTGGATCAGCTATGCAAATTTTAAATTGTGAAGCGAGAGTCATTGTTTTTCTGTGGCAAGACAAAATAAAAACTGCTAATCAAGAGAGGAAATGTAAACCATAATATCCATTCTGGGAGAGTGTAAATAGGAGTCAGCAGTGTCAAAAGAAGAGCCACCCTAACAGGATTGTGATTCAGGACCATGGATATGTCCCCACCCCCACAAGGAACTCATGAGGTGCAGACAATGGGCTGTACAGAATCTGGATTTCCAAGCCCCCACTGCTGCTGCAACATGGACCCACCAAGTGAATTTGAAGAAAGAAGGACATGATGCAGGGAGTCTGCATCCTTTCCTCATGCCTGACATTGACCTCTATATACTGAAGGGTGCTCACTGTTCTGGCAACTCTCTGCTTGAGTGCTCTGCCCATTCACAGGGCAAACTCAAAGTGCCAAGTAGTTAATGCCTCCAAAAGTAGCACTCAACTGGTGATGGAGCTGGTGGATTAACATGCCAGTGGTCAGAGTTTTGATTGCTGGGTGCATTTGACACCGTCCCTCAGGGCTCCCCAGAAGGACTGAGATCTAGTTGTCCATAGTAGCAATTAGCTTTGGAAAGAGACCCTTATTGACCTGTGAATTTCGTGCCTCTTATCTTCAACCTGACCCCATTTCCTGGAAACACAACTCGGATCACAGAGTAAAGGTGCATCTGAGCCTGGACTTCCCAGGAGAGGCTAAGACTATTGATATTAGAGAGTAAGTTCCCATGAGTTTGGGGTCCCTGTATCGTCATTACTCATCTTTTAAAGTCAGAAAAACAAATCTTGCTCAGCCTGTCTACAAATGTGGTTAAGGACACTTCAATCTCTAGTGAGCAGTAAAAAAAAAAATGGTAAACTGGTAGCAACGTCAAAGGAGAAGTGCTTTTTTTTGTATTTCATTGAAAAGATTACCCAGAAAACCAAGTCTCTTTGGGTGTGCTTTTAAGGAAAATAAGTTCTGGTGTTCTATGGAACCACAGGGTGACAGCAGTCAACAATACCATATTGTATGTTTCAAAGAAGCTAGAAGAAAAGAGTTTGAATGTTCACTCCAGAAAGAGATGATAAATAAATGTTTGAAGTGATGGATACGCCAGTTACCTTGATTTCATTACACAATGGACACAAATATCAAAACAACACATTCACTCCTGAAAGTATATTTGATTATAATGTGTGAATCAAAAACAATTAAGAACTGAAATCAACACAGAACATTTTCCGAGGGGAGAAGTATCACAGCTTCAGTCTGATTTCCTTAACATTTGCTCTACCGTCTGGCACTGCCTGGATCACAAGGCAAGGGCTGTATCCTGCTCATTCTTTATTCCCAGAACCTGGACTTCTGTCAAGCACACAGTAGGTCCTCAGTTCCCATTCATTACAGCATAATGTTTCATGAATCTAACTGTGATCTTGAACATGTCATTTAACCTGTCTGGCCTTGAACTTAAGCTGTATCTGCGTTCCTGTTCAGTGCTGGTGTTTCTGGATGTGAAAGGATACTTACTGACCACTACACAGGAGAAATCAGTAAGGCAGTGAGCTGAACTAGAAAAGGAGACTGGTACCAGTGGTTTTGCAAGGATATCCAATTTCGTTGCTCTTGGTAAGAAACAGATGGTAACAGAAGGTAGGGAAGAAGGTAAACTGAGGATAGGAGGCACAGATGGAGGAGAGGGCCAGGAAGGGCAGGAAATGGGGGAACAAAGGATGTCAGGCTGATTGCATTCCCAAAAGCAGCCCATGGGAACTTCCACCAGCCTTGGTGCTGGAGAAGGACAGAAAGAAGTAAAACAGAAAAAGCCCAGGCACCAAAAGAAGCATAGGATCCGCTGCTGATAGGAGTTCGGAGAGCACATTTTTAGCCTCCTGGATTCCCGGTGAGTTAACGATTATTTTCGAGTTGAGCCTGACATTCCCAGAAAGCATATTGCTTACTCAGGAACACTGTGCTCTCAGCTCCAACGTGGGTGAATGGGATTACATTTTGATTGTTTAATCCCTCCCCACTTTTCTTTTTTTCTAAATCTCTAAAAGGAGTTCAGCCAAGGGCTATCTGTAACTGAGTCCACTAGGTAGACACAAGAAGCATGACTGGTGCTATCTCCTTGATCTTCCTATTAACCCAATTCCTCACTAACACCATTCTGTAAGTGAGAAAACTAAGATGAGAGGGTCCTGCTAATCATTATGCAAACTAAAGCTGGGACTCAGTCTAGGTCTGTGGACCCCTATGCGATGGCTTTAGCCCACTGCAGAGCTTCTGCCCAGGAGCATGGCCAAAGAAGAACTGATGTCCAGAGAAAAATCTCATGGAACCAGGAATTTAGACCAGTGAGTATCCTGGAATCAAGGACTAGCCATACAATAGGATTCCACCCACCTTACCCTCTTCCTGGTCTGTTCAATATGGGTCCCTCATTTTCAAATATATTTACCAAGGTGGCCCATTTATTATTCCAAATATTACATACAAAGAAAGGTCCTAAGAAGCCATTTTTAGGGATAATTGATGAAGAAACTTTCCTAAGAGTAAGAAGGGAATCTGGAATGCTAGGTACTTCTGCATAGTCAGGGACACTAGGGCAAGCAAGAGGGTTCAATGTTGGGCATTGTAGGACATGGCTACTCCAATGCCTACCCAGCCTTTGCCCATCTTCAGTAAAGCCTAAGAAATCAGAAAATGCTCCATGGGATTGGGAATCTTATAGAAACTAGTGAACAACAGGCTGTTTCAAATGTAAGGATAAATAGGCAAAATAGAGATAGAAAAGTCATCCCGAGCTAGGAGCAGGAAACAGAACTTTTACAAAGATCTTGGTAAGAAGGGGGCATGCTTCCTCAGGAGCTGCACTCCCTAGTAAATATTAAATGCACCCAGCACGGTTGAGTTGAGTTGGGGTTAACTAGGTGATGGGAGTAATGTTGTATTTTTAGCCATTTAATTAAACATTTATGATTCTGATCTCGAGGTTGTCCTTTCTGAATTTAGGAGGACTTTTCCTCTCACTCATTTTTGCAGGTTCTGCCTGTGCTCATTTGATAAAGAACCCAGGAAGGAAGTGAGTTGAAGATCGGGAACTCACAGGCTTTTCCGTACAGATCTTGAAGAGTAGCTGGAATTCAAGTGATATTTTAGGACATTTGAGGAAAATTCATCTGGAATGTAAGGACAAGTGGGTCTGTGCTGTTTGGGTGAAACTAAGGTTCTTTGGGTCCATACTCGGCAGACTGTCCTGGTTGGTGGCTGCTTGTCTAAAGACACTAGCCCTGTGACTGGTGGGAGGAACGTGAAGAATGGAGTTTGTCCCCCTATTTCCTAGCATAAGGACTCCACAGGACAAAATAGGAGGGGCTGGGAGTACACTGCTCAGGTCTTTATATGGTTGCTTTTTAGAGACAATGAGAATTTTCCAGCCCTTTCTCCACTCTGCCATCTTATACACACCACTTCTTTTAATCTTCCATCTGGCCCTTCAACCTGGGATCTGGGAAGCCTATTTTATAAATGAGGATACAAAGGCTCACAGATGTGAAAATGCTCCCCTAAAGCTGGTTAAGGGCACAGCCCCAAACAGAACCTTGGACTTGTGATTCTAAAGCTACCCCTCTTTTGGATTAAACCATGCTTCAAAGAAAGGGGATAGGGGAGGTAGAAGGGAAGATAAAGAAGCAAACAAAATAACAGGGAAAAAGTTGTTTTGATCACCCCTCTGCTCCCTGGCTTGCGAAAAGAGGCAAGTGAGGTGGCATTAACAGGCTCATCAGTCCGGCTGCCGCAGATCCAAGCAGAAGCCTCAGGATGGGGAATCTGTGTACCCCACGATGCTGACAAGCGAACTTGGTCCTAGTGGGTCGGTGTGGGGAGTAGAGAGGTACTTCCCGATATCCTCAAGGGAACAGAGTTGAGGTCAACAGCTCTCAGAGTGATGGTCCCCCTGAGGCCTCATCTCTCCAACAGGGTCCCCTCCCCTGACTCTACTCAGCAGGCAAGCCATGGCAGATGGGTTTGCATCACCTTGATTAAGGATTATTATTAGCCACAATGTAAGCTGTAATAATCAATGCTAATTTATACACCTCCTTTCCCCAAGGGCCTCTGATTGAGAGAAGTGTGATTTCCTAGCCTGCAGTTATTAATATATCCTGCATCCCACTGCCAAATGGGGCCAAGTGATGGACTTGGATGGCCCGAAAGTTGGAATGTGTCCAATTTCCATCGGTCTCTTCACCTCTCTCTGACCTAAATGTTCACAGTAGCTCAAATGAAATGTCTAATAACTTTTTATTCAAATCTTCTTGGGTTAAAACTGAGAGGAGTTGAAGGATGTGCCCTAGATAGATTTCCTGTCTTTCTTTGGGGATAGTTTTTTTAGTAAGATCTCTAGGCCTTTCATTTGCTTCTTAAAGGAAACATGTCTCATGGTGTCTTTTTCTTTCTTCAATGCATCCAGCCAGCCAGGTAATAGCATTTCAGTGACTCTTACCATATTCCAGGTCTGGGGCTTGCTGACTGCAACATGACAGGGGTTAGGCATGGTCACCATTCTAAGGGACTCAAGCCCATAAGGGCTTCCTAACCTTTTGGGGTCATGGTCTTCCTGAAAAACAACGGGAAACTATTGGTTTCTTCACAATGCCTGAAAGGCAGGCACACACATTAGCACATCTAAGTTTACAGTAACTCATGGAGCCGAGTGCAGTGGCACATGCCTGCCATCCCAGTGGCTCAGGAGGCTGAGGCAGGAGGATTGTGAGTTCAAAGCCAGCCTCAACAAAAGTGAGGCACTGAGCAACTCAGTAAAACCCTGTCTCTAAGTAAAATACAAAAATAGGGCTGGGGATATGGCTCCGTGGTCCAGTGCCCCTGAATTCAATTCCTGGTACTCTCCCCTCAAAAGAAGAAGAAACTCATGAACCTGCCTTTAGGGAAGTTCCATATGCCACAGAAGCCCATTCAGGCACACTCTGAAGCATGATGGACCCCAAATTAGGACCCCATGTTCAAGTGAGTATTATTCTGGATATTTGATAAAAGGGTGATATATCCTCTGATATACCAAGTGATGTAGCTCCATCATTGAGTGTCCCTGATTTCAATACTCAGTACCCACCCAAAAAAGAGTAAATGATATGCAGGGTGATTTCATTTGACTTCCACAGAAGCAGAGAAGCTTCCAGAACACCTGTAACTCCAAACTTCTTTTGTGCTGCTTTTGGAATTGGGTTGGTCAGTGCTTTGGAGCACCCAGGCATGACATAAGCCTAGTGAGAAGGGAACTATACAAGATACAGGGAGTAAGCACTTTCCAAATTGCTCAAGAGGGATAAAATATCTGTGGACAAAGCATTGGAACTCTCTTACCCAGTACACTGGATCAGCTAAGCAAATTTAAAATTGTGAAGTGAGAGTCATTGTGACACCCTCCAAAACTCAGTCTCATGTCAAAACACAGTACATACTTGATTAGAAGCCAGACACATTCATCCTGAAATTGCTGCAGAGTGACTCTGTGAGTTTCTGCAGATTTCTTCCCTTCCTTCACTGGGCTTTGAGTTCTCAATATTTCCAGTTACTCTTGATGCGCTCCGAGAGCTCCTCTGACACTCTAGGACCTGCCGACCATCTCTCGCTAGTTTTCCAAGTGTGGTCTCTTCTCCAGTATGCACACTTTTTCTTATTCAATTCCACCAGTGCCCAGGCCAGGGTGATGATATCATTCCTGCTCCCCTTTCCCCAGCCCACCCCCTTGCTAGAGAAGAGCAGCCGGCATTAGAGACAGAGACACTTGGGAGACAACAGAGACCCCACCACTGATAGAACAGCCTTGGGCAATTTCTTTAAACTCAGTGACTCAGTTTTCACCTCTATGAAATGGAGATACTAATAATAGGTACTCACAGGGCTTACTGGGCCCTAATCATACAGAGTGAATTAATTGCATCAGTTCCAAATATTATTCTTTCCCTCCCTCCCTACCTCTCTTTATTTATTTATTTATTTTTTATTATAAGATTTGCATTCTTGAAGGGAACTTGACTGCCATTTGTACCCACATATTTTTTTTTCCCCCTAGTGACATAGCAGGGGCAGTTAACATAAATTCATTCAGTAGGAAGACGTTAGGAGCACAGACACAAGTGGTCCAGCCCATGGCATTTGGGACCCAGGAAAAGGGCCTCAAAACAGCCTCTAGGTTTCCCACAGATAAAGGGGGGTGGCAAGCTGAGGCCAAGGGCCCAGGATACCTTTCAGCTGAGCAGGGTGACGGCACTGAAAGGAGCATCTGCTGCCAAAGGTGGTGCCCTCAGGACAGGAGAAGGAAGCGGCATAGACGTGGTGGTGGTCTGGGGCGCCGCAGTCCACGGGCTCACACACCACCTGCTTACTCCACTTGCCCTCTGTGCAGGTCACTGTGACACTGGGTCCCACCTGAAAGACAGAGATAGGAGCAGTGAGGGACAGCTGACTGGATCCTGGGTGTGGGAAAATACCCTACTCTCCCGGGTGACAACGGAGTCTTGTCCAGGGACCAGAGACCCATGTTTAGCAGTGAGCATTCACTCAGGTGAACAATCGCCCCCAGTGGGTGAATTAGATATTTCAGCTCCCACTTCTTTTACAAGTGCAGAAACTGAAGCTCAGAGACATTATATGATCAGTCCCAGGTTATCCACCTGGAAAAAAAAAGATAAATGGGACTTGAATCCAAAGACTATGCCCTCTAAAAGCTGCATATAGTATCTTCCAGACCATTATTTTCATCTTATTGATGAGAGATTAATGGTGACATAAGACCGACATGGTGATTTCTTTAATAAAACAGACTCAGAAACATGATTAAATGTTGAACTTGGAATTCTTTTCTTGGAGGAGGCTACCAGGAGTCCAGTCGAGGGCTTGGTGCATAGTAGGCCCTGCCCTGTGATAGAGGAGGCCTGGGAGTTTGCCCTTTGTGTTATGAGAGCATGAGCAAGGGCCTTTCCTTATCTCAGTTCTCACATTGGCCACACCAGTGATTGCTTTAAGAGCCACTCCCTAATTTGAGATTTGATGGCTCGATAGTCAAGAGAGACAGACATGAAGAACAAACAAGTGGAGGAAAAACGAAAAGCCTGACAGAGATCAGAACTAAATTACAAGATGGTAGGGCTGTGTAGGTGGAAGGGTGAGGCCATGCCACAGAGCCAAGGGAAGGAGGACGGTCACTGGCAGCCCGGGGCCTCTACTCAAGGAGGAAGCCGCCAAATCCCAGGGGATTGGGGATGCCAAGTGTTGATCTGAGATTTTTTAAAAGCAAAGGACATTTTCCTCTCTTAAGTACACATCAAAGCAGCAGAGGTCCCACTGCCAAAACAGCCTAATTGTTTCCATAGGCGTTCAGACCTGCCATGTCTGACACACGGAAGTAGGTGTCTAAGATGAGCAAGCCCAGAAGCTCTGTACAAATAGGCGTTCCCAGCAATAATGAATGTGCCCTGTGTGTTTGCAGGGTGAAGGCAGAGGCTATTGGCAGGGCTCCTGAAAAAAGGTATATCTAGCAACAGAGCTCTGGAATCCTCCAACCACAGGACCGGAAAGACTTTCAACTATAAATGTCTCTCACTTCCCCATACCCCACCCAAGATATCAAAGTAACATCTGGCTGAAGCAATATTCTGCCACGGCACTCAGATCCACTCAGGACCATGGATCTCATGCAGGACACGTCCACATTTCCATGAGCGCCACTAATGATTTCCCGAAGCTTCTCTGCTGCTGAGGTCTTACCGTGGGACTCCAAGCCACCCACGTGGGCAGCCAGAAGAGACTTTGTCAAGCATGATTTGACCATGCCGTGTCCCTGTTGTCCTAAACTGCCTAACTAAGCTGGGAGGGCCCCATACCAGCGGACCCAGCTGGACCCTCTTGCCTGATGACTTAGTGAGTTTAGAAAAAGGACAGTGTTTCCACCTGTGACATGCACATTGTCAGCAACAGGCTTCCACTCGTCACTCCTGCCCTGCCAGAGCATACACCTATCCCTTCCCCCAGCATGCACCGCTTTGTTTAGCTGTCTGCTTCTCAGTTCGATGGTTACAATGTCATGTCATCTATCCCAGGGCACTTTCCTTGCATCCCCCTGTGTTTCCAGGCCACTACTCATGAATTGTTTGTCTCCGCTCCCCAAGTAGCCACTAAGCTCCTTGAGAACAGGGACTAGGTCTCTCTTAATCTCCAGGATCTAGTACTGCGTCTGATTCATAGTGGACACATGTTTCGTGATGGATGAATGGAAGAGCACCTCTTAGACAAAGGGTTCACCTCTTCCTAAAGCTGCCCCATTCTAATATGATAGAGTTCTGACTGCAAGAGGTTCATTCCAGAATGCTCAGCCCGTGGCCTTGCAGATTCGCAACCTACAACAGACATGGTTGTGTGTGGGTATGGAACACAACTCTGTACAAGCAGCCTTCTTTCAGAGATTCCAGATGGCTTTGTTAGTTGCTTGATCCATTCATTTGTTGGGGTGGGGTGGAATCTAGTCTCTATGTTGTGTGACAGCCCTGTCTTAAGTGCTGGGGATTCTGCAGGAGCATGTTCTGCACCCACCAGCCTCACCAGGGCTCTGCACTCAGCACCTGCACGCACCTGGCTCTTGATCAGTTCATCGTCCCGCTGTATCTGGAGCACGTAGCCTGTCCGGCAGCTCACAGTGCACTGGGCGCCATGGTAGCGGTCACTGCTGGAGCAATTGAGAAAAGCATTCTCCAAGGCCAGCTCTGGGCAGTCGGTGGCTTCACAGGCAAAGTGCACACAGCTAGAGAAGGAAGAAACAAGAGGGTCAGAAGGGATTTCCTCCCAGGAAAACCACAATCCAGCTGGAAGATAGAGACTGAGCCTCTCTCCCCAGAATTCCTGGAGGCTGAGGCTAAGTGGAGGAAGGGGTGCTGGCTGAGGTAGAGAAGACTGACTCTGGAGGCCACGGGTAAGGTTTATCCTTACAATCTCAACTTTGGAGACAGACAATCTAGGGTTCAAATCGTACCACTTGAAAGGGTTGTGGTTATCAGGTTTCAAAACTCGCAGAACCTCAATTTTTCCATTTAAGAAATGGGGATCATTAGGATTACAGCAACTATTTATTGAGTTTCCTATCTTTCAACCACTGGGTTGAGTGAAAACCTCTTTGTTTTTTATAAGAGTAAACACCTTCAAGGGTCATGGGGAGGATTAAACAGTTAATTCAGGAAATACACATAGCAGAGTTCCTGGCACATAATCAGCACTCAATAACTGGTTGCTAATTTTATCAATACATTTGTGCTCTCTTCCCTAGAAGCTGTGTGACTCTGGACAAGCCAAATATCTCTCTAGGATTCTGTGTACCTTCAAGTTCAGCTGACCTCATAGAGCCATGAGACTCAAGTGAGGGAAGTAAAAGTCTTTCGTACCTGCAAAGCCACTGAAGAATTCTTAGCAAAGTTGTACAGCATGCCCTGCACCTTGCTATAATTGCTGTCCCTACTTTTTCTGCCAATCTGAATCCTACCAATTCTTCGAGGCTGAGTTACATGTAATTGCTATAGGAAACTTTCCCTTTGTTCCCCAAGTGAGCTCCCTTCGAAGCATTCTGCCGTTCTTTCTCTGACAAAGGTCCTTCATGCTGAATGCATTGAAAACACGGGGCCTGGGGACCCACAGGGACTGCAGTCTGTGCCAGCCTTTAAAGATAGGAATGCAAACAACATCAACCCCTGTGCCTGGATGATCTTCCCCCTTGTGTTACAGCTGTGCTGACTGTGGGAACATAACTCACTGGTGGCTTATGCACAAGAGCTCACTCTTTGCTCACAAGCACCCTGTAGGCTAAGTGCTCCTCACTTCAGAGTTGGAAAAATTGAAGGCCAGCAGGATTAAGTCACCTATTTATCTTCCCATCCACATGTGTGATCCCAGAGTCCTTGCTGTTAACCTTGCCCATGGTCCAGGACTAGAATATCCCGAGGGCAGAGGAAAGAGACCTTTTTCATCTCAGTGTACTTTGCATTGTGACTAAAAATGCCTGGCAACTGATGTTGCCTAAACTGAAAGAAACAAACTGGGTGGTGCCTTGCAATGGCTCCTAAGAATCTGAGACTTTATCCCAAACACAGAAGGCTTCTTATGCCCTGTTCTGTCTGACTGCTGCTGCTTCTACCCCAGCACCTGGCCTACCATGAGCACAGTTTTGCATTTTGGCCTACCGTGAGCTAGATTTGCATTCAGAATCTGGAGACTCTCATTTTCCTATTTCCATCCAGGATACCGGAAAACATTTTTACCAAACCAGATTCAGAAGAGCTTCCCAATATTTTCCTTGGTGCTGTTTCAGGATATCCCACTGAGCCTTCCCCGTTGTACACTACCTACTGATCAAAAGTATGGTGAAAGCCAGGTGTGTTGGTGCAGGCCTGTCATCCCAGAGGCTTGGGAGGCTGAGGCAGGAGGACAGCAAGTTCAAAGCCAGCCTCAGCAACGTAGTGAGAACCTAAACTTACTGAGACTCTGTCTCAAAATAAAAAATAAAAAGAGACAGAGGATGTGGCTCAGTGGTTAAGCACCACTGGGTTCCATTCCTGGTACCAAAAAAAAAAAAAAAAAGTCTAGCAAAAATAGAGTAAAGGAAACTGAGCTAACAGCCTCTAGGACAAATCACAAACAAATTCCCTTTCCTTTTCTTGAATACTCAGAGAAGGGCAAGCCCTTTAAGTCGGGGCTCAGGCCCTCCCTGGTGTGGTTTTGTGTTGGCCACACACCTCTTTTCTGAAAGGCAGGGCCACTGCCATTAAATGGCGCTGGCAGAACTACTTTCATTCTCCACCCTCTCTTCACTCCTGACAGCCTGGTGCTGTGCCACGTGGAGACCTCCAAGAGGCTGCAACTGCTGCGTTCACACAAGGGCTTTGACCAAACAATGCATCTGTGAGCACTGGGGGAAGAGCCACATGGTTCCAATTTAAATAGATTTACTCCATGAGCTACCAGCTACCGAGCTGTTCTTCGGACCTGCGCCTTACAGAGTGGACAGCTCACTCTGCTCCCAGAAGGCACCGGGGCTCCTGCCCTGTTGAAGACCCAGAGAGGAGAAAGCACTTTCTTCTCTGGGCTCTGAGCCATCGAGGGGAAACTAGCACCCTGCTTGTTCTGTCACATTAAAGATTTTCCTTGTGGGAAAGTGGAACACTGAAACGCTTCATTTCCTTGGGTGGAGAAAAAGCACAAGGCTTCTTGATCAGGGAAATCTGAGTGCACGTCCTAGCTCTGCCTTTTTTTCAGTTATTCTACCTTGGAAATTCATATAACATCCTGAGCCTCCGTTTCCTCATCTTTAAAGTGAAAACAATAAAATGATTGTTCCCTCAGAACCATCTGCTGAGTGAATATCATCCATGTGTTTGTCCATTCAACAGCCTTTGACTGGGGGCCTCACCGAGTCAGGCATTCTTGGAGAGAACGAGTAAGTGGATGAGCATTTTGACCTCTGCTCTCCCGCCAGTTGAAAAAGGTGGTCCTTTGTATTTAAAAAGGGAGGACAGTGCCAAGGAATGGTAACCAATGAGAGCATTTTGGATAGTGATGTGCACCATAAGACATTAAAACAAAGTGAAATTATAGAGGTTGATTATTTGTGTTGGGGGGTGGGGACTTTTTAATGGAAGGACCCAAGAAGAAGGGACATTTGAACTAAAACCTGGGCGAAATGAAGGGATCAGACATACAAAGTGTTGGAGCAGAGGGTGTCCCAGGCAGACTGAAGAGCCGGTGTGATGATCCAGGACAGGACAGGGTATGGTGTGTTTGTAGAAAGGGAAGGTGAATGTCTGAGAAATGCTTTGGAAACAATGAAGCTCCCCCAGGTGTTCTCTTGACTCTGCCTCTTTTTGCTATAGAAAGAAAATATTTCCTACCTGCACATGAAACCAAAAAGTTTCATGTGCAGGTAGGAATGGGAAGGAGTGGATTAATCAATCAGTTTTCTTGGCTGCAGGACTTCTCAGAACCTTGATTATTCAAATGCATATGGACAGTGTCCAGAAAGAAGCAAAGGGTTGAATGATTTTCCAAACCCTTATACCTTTCTGTTTTCATGAGACATTTCTTAGGACTAATGTCTTCTAGAACACAGTTTGGAGAGTGAGTCCTCCTTGGTTTTTAGGCACATCTGACTGCACCTACCTTGCAGATTTGCAAACAGAAAGAAAGGGGGAGAAAGAGGCGATCTGCACCAGGCATTTGCCACTGGGTCTCACCCACATCTTCATATCTGCAACCACACAGTATCTCCTTCAGGTAGTGAAATTAGTCCCATTTGGGACTAAGAGTTCTGAGCTGCTTGCTCAGGACCACTAAGCTTAGACAGGATTCTGATAGAGATCTGCCAGTGTGCTCCCTAGGTCCCCATTCACTCCTTACCATCCTGATGGTTGGAAAAGGTTGTGGGAATGCATGTTCAAAAAAGGTAAGGCCAAGGTCGTGGTGCAGGGATACAGCTTGCCTACGAAGCGTGAGGAATTGGGTTGATCCCCGGCACCACATTAAAATAAGAACAAATAAAATGAAGGTATTGTGTCCATCTACAACTAAAAAGAAAAAAATAAAATAAAAATAAAAATTAGAAATAAAAAAATGGTAAATGTCACCCCAATAAACCCTCCCATGTAACTGTCATTTCCAAAATATAAAACCCCAAACCGAATTAAGGAAACCAAACAATGGCTTTAATACTAGTGAGGGACAGTCAATAAAAACAAGAAAAGAAGGGAAAAAATGAAGACACTTCTCTGAAAGAAGGAAGATGGCTGATGGGATAGGTGGAAGAAAGGACAATGGGTATTTGCATCAAATTCTCACACCTGGTCAAAGGTAGAACCTGTGCCTCCATGATTAAGAGCTAATCAAACTCTACACGTATATTATATGTATATTTTCATGCATATAGTTACAGACTCAAGTTCCAAATGGAAGTAGAATGTAATGTGATCCCCCAACTGCTGTCCCCCCTGCTGCCTGAAATAGACACTAATTGCACCTAACAGCCAGGACCTGGGCAGTACTGGAATCAGGAGGAAGGTCGAGGGTAAAGGCTGGTGAAGCCTTCTCCCGAGTTCTGTCCTTTGACTGGTGGATTCCCGCCTATGACCTGCTGCTCAGCCACAATGACTCCATGGAGAGTGAAGATAATGACAGGTGTGGTTTAGGCATGGTTCTTGGTTGCTGGTGGACACCATGTACAAGGCTGGATACAGTCTCTGTGGGATCCACTTGGAGCTGAGGCTGAGAAACAGTTAGCACAAGGGGACCTAAATTTTCTGCCCAGAAATGAGGCTCCCAGGGGAAGTAAACCTAAAAGACCCTTCCACCCAGGATTTCCAGGAGCAGCACTGGGACTCAGTATGGAGGTTAAGATGCTGCAGAGCAGAGGTGCAAACTCAGTGGCCTCTGAGGTCCAGGCAGAGGACCTGAAAGGCTGGACAAGCAGGATGGAGTGGGATGTGTCTGGCCACTGCAGAGCTGTTCCCCACTTCAGTCCAAGGCTGCATGGTGGGACAGAGGGTCTGTTGCTTTCCAGTCTCATGATTTCTTGAAAGAGTTCGAGGAAGAAATCTGGTTTTCAATAGGAACTCTTCTGGTATTTAAGTTTTGGCAACTAATTAAAGATAGTAACTAATGAAGGCTAATGAAAAAACTGTTTGTGGCCTCATCTGGCCGAGGGGACATCAGTCTTGAAACCTCTGGTGAAAAAGGAAAGAGAAGCAGATTCCCAAGAACCAGATTCAAAGCTTGGCTCTACTCCTAACTTGCTGGGTGGCTTTACAAGGCTCATGTCCCTTGTCTGGACCCTGAATTTCCTACTGAATAAGGATACAGAACTTGGGAATCTTTGAGAAGCTTGCATTTGAGGTGCCATGGTTTTTTGAAGACCAACAACAGAGGTCTATAAATTCAAAGCCCTTTGGAATGGGAAAAGATAGGCATTGATGAGCCTAAGTACGTATAAGGCAAAGAACTTGCAGGAATTCTGGTAGCTCACTGAAGGGGGCAGGAGCCGAAGGATAGTTTAAAGAGTGCAGCAGCATCCAGTACTGTCAAAGGCACAGTGATGCTCAGGCATGCAGTTCCATCTGCAGCTACATCCCTATGACCAGTGGCTGCCTACCCATCTGTGACATGCCCTGATTCCTTTGTGAGTCAGGGAAGTTGGATGCAGAGGTGGGCAGCAACAGCCTAGGGCCTCTGCTGGGAGCAGCTCCACTCTTCTGTGAATCCCTATCAGACGTCTAGGGTATTCCACAACTGGACCAAGCAGTGAGCACTCTAGCTCCAGCCTGTGGGCGCTCACAAACCGCAGCCCAGGTCCACCCTGGTTGGAAAGATTTCATACCAGGCATACAAACGGCTTGTTCCTCCTAAAGGTGGCATTCTGAACACGATCTCTTTACCACACTGCCTCTCTCTGGATTGAACAGCAAGTAGAATGGGGAAGAGTTTAAGGTGAAAGAAGAAAAAGAATACAAAATAATAAAAGAGGTCAGAAGAAGGAAGAAGAGAGAGAATAAATGTTTAAATACACGATCCCTTGAATTTTATAATAAACTGTTTACTTTCCATTTAGAACCAGGAGGTTGGATGTATGGATGTTCTGTGGGCGGGGGGGGGGGGGGAGACACTGAGGCCCCAATGTCATGATGGCACTTCTGTCACTGAAGAAGCATCTTATATTCCCCACCCCCACCCCTGTGGCTGCTGCCTCCCCCTAACTTTTCCTCTTTTCACAATTCTATGTAGAGCTGGGATTTGGCTAGAATTCCACAACTGGACCCTCTCATTGGAAACCTGATCCTGTTTTCTTGGGCCTCTGAATTTATACCGAGCATTGCACAGGGGCTGGGGACCCTTGAATCTAGGTCAGAACATGTCGCCGGCATTGATTTTGCTAGAGTGAAGCTTCTCTCAAGGCAGCCCACTGGATATCACACCACTCTCAGAAGAGGAAGAAAATGAGGAGGACAGGGGGTGGGAGAGGAGGGGGAGGGGAGGAGGAGGAGGGGAGGGGAGGAGGTGGGGAGGGAGGGAGGGAAGGGAGGAGGAGAGACAGCCAGAAAAGAATAGAGGGGGTGGAGAAGGAGAAGGAAAGCTGGAGGGAGGAGAAGAAAGGGTGTGGGTGTGGGTGGGGGGATGGGGAGGGAGAAATAGCACCTTTCACTACCTGGGACAAGGGAGAGTAAAGTGGGCGGTTCCAACTACAATCAGCTGAAATTTGTGCTATCAAAAATGATGCTAACAAATAAAACAAGAAAAAAAAAGGGATGCTATTTACCTTAGTGATTTTGAGAATGAAGAAAAACATCTCAGGGCTTCCTACAGTTGTTGCTAACTTTTCTTTTATTTCCTCTCCAGTTGTTTTAATGCGTTTGCACATTTGCAGGGTCCTGCTTGTTTTGATAAATGTCTTCACAGTTCCCCAGGAACAGCTGCTGTCCTTTCCCACTAGGGCATTCTGGAAGGAGGTCCTGCAGCCCTGAGCCTCAATCCTGCACACTCAGTCTGGCCCAGGCTAGGCTCAGAAAAAAGGCAAAGCCCTCAGGGCGGCATCCTCCACCCCTTTACTAGAGTCCCACAAAGCAGAAACTCCCATGTGACCAGTCCTGCAAATTCCTCTTTCTCTCCTACCTTGATGAGGTGGGCAGGGCACGCCTTTCAAGGTTTTGCCTCCTACTGCCTGGGTGTCTTTGACTCACCTATCCTGTCTCTCTGAGTTACACCTCCCAGGACAGGTGAGAATGAAACAATACAATGTGCTTATCAGGGGCTCAACAAATGTCTGTGCCTTCCCTGCTCCTCTCCCCTCTCCTCGCTCTTGGGAATCACAGACAGAACTGGAAAGAACCCCAGAGAACATGCAGTCCAGCATCATTCTTTTCCCAAAGAGGGAGAACAGCTTGTCCACAGTCATACAGCACCTGAGTCTGAGACAGGACTTGGCCTCAGTTCAATGGTCCTCCCTCACAACCAAAGAACTCAACAAATACCTACGGAGTGATTTGCTTCAGAGGTTAAAAACTCCTTACTGTTGATGGAGGGCCCAGGAACTGTCAATTAAGCATTCAGAGAAGTCAGTGCTAGTGTCAGTCAACTTGTGGATGGTCAGATGGTGTGAGAAGGCACTGTGGAAAACATTTTTGCATTTTCCATTGACATTGTTTCCCTGGGTTCTGAGAATTAACTTATTTTTATAGAGTCTAGAGAGTCCGGGATAAAAAGGCCCTCTTACAGTGCAATATGACAATGAGCGATATTTACGGAGCCCTTGCCTCTGAACGATTGCAACAGACTTGGCCCAACAGACGCTGGAGACAGTGGGTGCAAAACAATGTGGATTTTGCAACCACCCTTTGTGTTCTCTGTGGGAGCAGGGGCGTGGGAAAGGCTGGTGTTCCCTTGCACCGCCTCTTTCTCTCCTTTCCCTCAGGTGCACAGGACAGGCATGATCGCCTTGCAGAGGGCCTCCTTCTGCAGAGCCCACCAACATGACAACCCTTTCTCCTTTTGGATCCCATTAAACAAGTTTGAAATGCTGGGCAAATCTGGAACCATTCTTCTCCTGTCTGGGCCCTGGAATCCTGGTTGGGAACACGGAAGTTTGAACCTATTGGATGTCTTAGATCATCCCTGAGGCTTCCTCCAGTTTTGACTTTAAGAACTTCACTCAGAATTCTGTGCAGAGAAGCACCAGCCATCGTGGTCAGAAAGCAGTTGTGAATGTTCTTTATTCATATGTTATCTTTGCACAGTGTCTAACAGTCTGCAAGAGCATTTTCATCCACGGTGCAACAATTAACCCTTACAACCACCCTGTGAAGTATGCATTATTATCTGCTTGCTTCAAAATAGAAAGCTGAGCCTCAGAAAAGAGAAGCAACTCGTCCAAGGGCACAATCTGGGGAGTGGTAATATAAATATTCAAATCCAAGTGTATTCCCAAAGGTTATATTCAGTCCAGGAACCACCATTCCCCGGCTACCTCCAAATGTGGTTCCTTAATAGATGCCAGATCAGCAGCTCTGATGGAGGTATGCCCTGCAGGTGAAAGGTTCCTGAGCCACTGGAGGCATCTCAGGGGCAGGTGAGCTGAAGCTATGAGGTTTCACCTACCACATATACGCACAGTGAATTGGGGTGAAGCAAACGTCAACCCCTTCCATCCCTCTCAACTTAACAAGGTCACACCTCTTGCCTGTGCCACCAAGGAAGCAGAATATTCTAGTACTTTAGAGCTGAGAAAGCTAAGCCGCCTACCCTCTCTGTGTTCACATGGGGAGGCTGAGACCCAGAAAAGGAAATGGCTGTTTCCAGATCACCTGGCTTCTACTGTCAACTCTGCAGCTACAAGCCAGGTGAGGGAGCATCTCTATCCTCCCCGCTTCCCGCGCTCACCCCAGAAACTCAGAGCCTTGTGGGTCTCTTGAGCTTAAAGACAGAGCTGGCCAGAGGTCAGAGGATGGAGAAGGGAGCAACCCAGAGACTTTTCACAGCAACACAATGGCTACTCGGCTTCAGAATCTCAGTGTCTCCACTTGGCTACAAATGGCCTAGGGCGAGTAGGCCCAGGAAACCTTACCTCTGCTCCGCAGGGCTGTAGGTCTCCCCTCTCTGGCAGCTGCTCAGGGTGACGGGGTCAAAGTTGTCGAAGGAGCGGAGGGCCACCCCCGAGATGGCGACCAGGGGCGAACTGAAGCTCACACGTACAGCCTGGCTGTGGTAGAAGGGCTGGCTGAGGTCATGGACCACAGGGATAATCAGGGGATTGTTCCTGCAGCTTAGGACATGGAGGCCTGTCAGGGAGACAGAGGGGCCGAGGGGCCAGGCTCATTACTCAAGGCCAGTCACGCCCTCCCCAACGGGCCCTTCCCGAAGCCCCCAGACCCTTTCATGTCACTGCACAAAAGCACCATTGGGCAGCCAGAGGGGATTTTGAGTTTGATTGAAAGTTTCTTTGTCCGCCTTTTTTTCTTGGTTCCAAATCTTTCCAATCCCCCTGCCTCCCTGCCCCCTAAGCCTTCCCTTCACCTAGTGCCCACAGCCCCTCTTCCTCCTGCGAATGGCCACCCATCAGCCAAGCATCCCTGGTCCTTGACTCCCTCCCACAATGCCTTAGGGCTTGAGGTCTGAGCTGCTAGTTTTCCGCTGCTGGTTGGTCTGAAAGGTGATGGAAATAATTCATAGTAACCGGCCTTCCTGGAGTAAACCGTTCCCTGCCATCCGTAACCTGCGGACCTGGGAGCAGCCCTGTGAGTTAAGGACTTCTACACCACCCGATCTGCAAAGCAGACCCACATGCTTGGGCAGGAGGGGCTTTCTAGACACAGCACAGCTGTGACCCGAAGCCCAGGTAGAATACAAACTTGCCCTGCTCAGAAGTCCTCAAGACTTTTTAGCACAAGGCAGAAGGGACCCCAGGACCCCAGGACCCCAGGTTTCAGGAAGGAAGTGGGAAGAGGGGCAGGGGGAAAGAGGTACCTAGAGAGAGAGGGAGTGGGGTGGGGTTGGTGGCTGGTGGACCTGGATTCAAGTGCTGGTCTAGACACCCCCTGATCATGGGACTCCAGCAAACTCCTTAAAATCCACCTCCACATCTGCAAAGGGGTTTAACCCTGGCTGTGTCCTGGCAGCCTGTGGTGGTCCAGCAGGTGCCCTTTGTTCTGCTTTCCTAGCTCTGGGAAGCCTCTGCTGGGGATGCTGGGATACCAGGGACAGGAGAACACAGTGGGAAGGGACAGGGAAGACAGAAGGCTCAGGCTCCAGTAGGAGGATCCAAGGAGCTTCTGTGGAACCAAACCTCTTCCCACTCTGCCGAGAAACCTCTCCTCAGAGCTCTCTGCCATGCCAGGACAACTATAAAAATATTTGCTTCTCACTTAGGGAAATTTCCCAGAAATCCAGATACGTCCAGAGGGGTTTTCTTTCTCTTCCTTATTTCCTTCTCTTTCCCTGGCCTTTAAAACTAAATAAATAAACAAAGACAAAACAAAACAAAACAAAATCTTCCCTGCTTCCTTGGCTTCTTTCTGACCCTGAAATGACCCCTGGTCCACTGGCTTCTTGCAGGTTTTTGAAATAAGCTCTCTGGAATGGTGTGGGCACAGCTTTGAGTCCAGGTTCCGGTGCTGGCCCAGGACTCTAAATGCTTGGAGGCCTACCCAGAGCTCTCCAGGGTAGACTGGATATGAGGGAGTGCAACAGGGATTGCTTCCTGCTAACGGGGAGTTCTTAGCACCAGATCGAGTGCAGGGCCTGCTCACGGCAGTGTCATGCCATATCTTGCTCTGTCTGTAAGGTTTCTTTGTTCTTATTGTATATGAAGAAAGTGGGGTCTCTAAGAGAAGTGCTACAAGGTAGAGAAAACTGCTTCCTCTTTCCTGGTCAGTGAGTGGTGGAACAGGGTTCAAACCTTGCTGCCAGATCTGGAGTTGGGCCATTTCCCCCGACCATGGCCCAAGCAGAGGGGAGGTGCAAGTGACCACTCACTTGAACCTTTACCCAGGACAGCTTCTCAGCTGGTAGGACCCCTTTCCTCAACTGCCTCCCCATTCCTGAATCTGATAGGAAACTTTCTTATTCCTATTCCCACGGGGATCTTCTCCGGAGGTTGTGCTGGGCATATGTCACCACGGGGAGGTCTCACAGACAACGATTAGGGGGTGAGCAGCAATGGGCTGGGATTCTGAAACCTGGTGACTCAGCCCTGACTTGATGTGTGACCTGCAATCCCTTGGTGCCTCTCTATGGATCTCAGGTGCTGACATGGGTGATGGGGAACTTGCCAGAGTCTTCTGAGGATCACATGTGATGCCTAAGGTTTCCAACAAAGAGAAGCCACTGAAGGGAGGGCTTTGCCATTGACCCTTGTCCCCTTAGCAGACACATCCAGGTTTCTCTGGACATACAACTACATCTTGATGGGGGCTATGGGCACACCCAATGGTGAAGAAGCAAGAAAGTGAAAAGTGGAAGGCAGAGGTCACCCCAAGCTGTGGTCCTCACAACCACCCTGGACAGGTAGGAAGCAGGTACCAGGGGCAACCAAGCCCTGGGGAACAGGCTTGCCTAGATCGTGGCTCTGATCTTTGGTATCAAGCAGCTGCACGCTGATGGTCTCTTGTTTTTGGTCCCCATAATATGTCCCATCGGTCACCAGGTGGACAATGACAGCCGCAGCAACCATTGGCTGAGAGTAATATGCCTGAAATGGAGAAGACACAAGAAGGTCACTCGTGTGCTCAGGCATAGGGGAGGGAAGCAGCCACACTGGGGTGGGTTTCAGGAGAATCTCCATCCATGTCTGCAACTGGACTCTTCATTGGAGCCTCAGACGGAAAGCAGAAGGCAAACAACAAGACAGTGAGGAGCACTGGCTCTGAGGTCAGCTTTAGTCTTGGCTCTGCTCCTTCTAAGCTGTGTGACATTGAGTGGATAGCTGGGCCACTCTGGGCTCAAATTCCCTCATTCCTAGTTAATGGATTAAAAAAAAAACCACAGCTACATCACAGAGTCACTGAGATGCTACCAAGACCACAGGAATAGTGTCTAGCACAGGACCTGGTACACAACCAAAACACACAAAACCACACCGTGCTTATTACAATCCATCACTCATTCATGTCAGCCTCCATACTGGGCCACAAGGAGATCAAGTTAAATAAGACATGGCCCTTGCAATTCTGGGATCCATGATGTTTAAAGTAGGTCAGTGACACATAAATCAACATCAATACAATCCACCAATCCACAGTCAGGAAGATTGCTACAGAGTATCCTATAGTGGATGTCATCCAACAAGTGACCAGACTCATGCAGAAGAAAGAAAACAGTCACTGATTTCTGTGGAGATCAGTAAAGTCCTCATGGTAGAAAAGTTGATTTTAAAATAAAAATAAAAGGTTTAGGCAGATAAAAGGTATCCAAATGCCTCTCCAGTGTAAAAGCTGAGTGGGGGTGTTCTATGAGCATTAAGGGATTCCACTTCAGGAAGCACCCCAGTACCAAGTGTTTTTTGTTTCCTGTCCTATTAATTAATAGCCTCCTGGGTGGATGAACTGTGTCCAGAAAGGCTCATCATGAGGCTCAGTGCTTCCTGGGTGCCAGTGATGGAGATGCCAGGGCTCTCGAGACTCAGGCTTACCTGCAACCAGAAAGTGGTCTGAGCCAGCTGGGAGTATGGATAGCTGATGGTGCAAGGGTACCAGGCATGCTGGGAGATTCCCTCACTGAGATCTATCACTTTGGTTCGACACACCTGGAAAAAGATAAAGAAGAAGAAGAATGTTTTGAGGGTCTTGAAAGTTCAGTTTGATTCAATTTAACAACCCTTTCCTATCCATCAATTTTGTTCTTGATTCTCTAAGAGAAAGCAGGGATGTATAGACAAGCATCTGCCCCAGGAGCTTACATTCTAGTATCGAGGTCATTCTCAGGGCTGTGAAACTATGGTGGTAGTGATATAGAAATCCTCACAGGGACAAATCTTGGAGGAGTTGACTTCAAGTTGAGCTGGGAAAAGCATTGCAGACAGAAGGAACAGAAGCAAAGGCTCAGAGGAAAGTAAAAACCCAGAGTCCTTAGGTTGTAATAGGGTCTATTACTATAGCCTGGGGAGTGTGGCAGACTGCACTGGGAGAGATTTGATCTCAGATTCTCAAATGCCAAGAAGGTTATCTTAGAACAAATCTGTGAATTATGCTCAGAGCCATAATAACAAAGCAAAGACTATAAAATGAGCCCAGGTTTCATCAAAGAAAAGCAATTCAATCTCTCTCTCTCTCTCTCTCTCTCTCTCTCTCTCTCTCTCACACACACACACACACACACACACACACACTCATTCTTAATAATAGATAACACCAAAAGGATGTTAAAAGAAAAGGGGAACATTTATACATAAACAGAATTGCTTAAACTTAGGAGTTTCCTGCACATCATAATATTTCATTTAAGAAAAAAACTTCACTGCTCTGCTTTATAAATATCAAAAAGTATTAAAACTTGCTAACTCTCAAAGTTTCCCTCACCCTGAGTCTAGGATTCAGTTGGTCCTAGGAAGAAAATATTCGTTCTCCAAATATCACTGGCAACTTCTTAAGAAGCTTAAAGGTGCCAAGAATTAATATCATTTATTCATACATTCAAATGTTTTTAAATGAAAAAGTTTATTATCATTTCATTTATAAAAATCACATAAAGCAAAACTCTATATTCCCAGGGATTCATACGAATTGAATGTAGCATAGAAAAATCTACACCAAATTCAGGGTGGTTATCAAGGGCGGGGAAAGGTGCTGCAAGTTGGGAACAAATGGGATTTAACTTATCTGTATTGTTATTTCTCTTGCAGAGACAGGCCAAGAGGAAATATGAAAATATCCCTATGGGTGTCAGAAGTTCATACACTTGGCATATATAATGCATTTACCTAGTAAGTATAGGCATTTTGATTTACATTGTTCCATGTAATTTTATGAATTAAAAGAACTCCAAAATGTTGTCATAAAGCCACGAAAAACATGAGCATAAAATCATGAGCATCAACTCCCCTACCAATGTGTTTGTATCCACTGGGCGCCAATGAACTAGACTAGATCTGAATCTTGTCACCCTGTCTTGTTCTTGGCACCACCAAAGGCTCCTTTCAACATGCTGAATATCCCATCTATAAATCTGTTAAAACTCAAAGGCTCCTCCACCCATCACTAGTTCATATGATGCTGGCTACCAGGAGCTCTCAGAAAACATCAAGTCACAGTCCTTTTTACATCAGCAAGATGCTCCTGGATGCCGCACTAACACAGACGGCTGCATTGTGACCTACCAGTGCTTTCCTTCTTCAAAAACCATTCTGAAGTAAGTCAGTATTTATAGTAAAGTTGCAAAGAAAATACAATAGCTCCTCCTACTCTTCACCCAGCTTCTCTTCATGATGACATCTTCATCCATTCATTCTCAAAACCTCAAGCAGAAGTTAAGATAGGTGGCTTAATCAACTTTGGAGAATCCCGCAATGTCACCCAGAAAGTTCTGTAGTGGAGATAGCTGGCTTTGAATTCAGGAGACCTGGTTCTGGTCTGTGCTTGCTCAAAATATGAGGTATAATTATAGAAAGCTACTTGCATCTTTGGACCCCAGTTAAGCTTGCACAGTTGGATGCTGCAGTAGTCATAGATTGGCAAAGTGTCTTCAGTGGATCCCTAGGGCTCATGGAGATGGCATCCCGAGAGATCGGCTTGGTTCCCACTCTACTGTTACAACCAGACCATCTCCTCTTCTCCATTTGATATATAGAGCTGACTCAAAAAATTTTAAAACTTAGAACTGTTGAAGTTTCCCTCAGCCTGGCTGTAGGATTCAGTGGGTCCTTGGAAGACAATGGTAGTTTCCTGAATATCACTGGTAACTTCTTATGGAGCCCAAAGGTTCCAAGAGTCAACTATTCCATGGTTTGGGAATCAGGCATGGATTCAGTTGTTCAAATATCTAGAAGCTTAATTCCAAGGAAGCTAAGTACAAAACACAGCCACTTTAATAGACTGGAAGACATTTTCAAGTTTATTTATTTTTCTCAAAAACAACCAAGACTGGGCTTAGGCAGAACTGCCAGTGGATTGTGTTACACTTTACAACAGTGCAAGAGTTTGCATAAACTATCTATGGCATTTGAAATCCAGGCCAGCAATTCGACATGTATCATTTTGGAATGCTTTTCCCTTGTGTTCTTAGCTGCCTGTCTCCCAGCAGAGTGTGGCAGAGCCCATCTCTGAGCGCCAGGCTGGGGTCTTATCTCTGCATCTAAAGCATTCACTGTCAGAGAATTTGCCAACATGAACAAAGCCTTCTTATTGCTTAAATACGATTTCCTCTTATCTCATCAGCACTAGACAGGGCTTTAGAGGAATATGCCTCTGTTATTTTTTTTTTTCTTCTGTTTTTCTATTTAGTTGTGTGTTTGTTTCAGGCTGGCTACAATCCTGACCAGGGACAGTTAAAGCAGATCAGAGAGGAACAAACAAATCCAGCCGAACCTTTGCCCAAAGCCCTAGTTGATCTTAAAATTAGCTCTATTTCTGGGGAGGTGGAGGGAGGCTGGGGGCAAAGGGAGAGGTGAGCAACCATAAGCCTCCTGCTTTTATTGATATTGCATGAATATGCTCATCAACAGCCATTTATTGACAGCCTGTAGAAATGCCCAGCTCTGGAGTGCTCAGGAAAGAGAGAGCCTTGCTGAAGTCACAAGGTTGGCTACTGTGGAAGGTGTGACCCCAAGGGGATCCAGACTATGGGGATGCTCTGTTTTTATTGACCCACTTTTTTGCACCTTCCACAAAAGCAAATCCAACTCCACCAAGCATTGCTGACCAAGAAAGATTTCTGTGGGGGAACAAATAGGAGAGTCACATCGCACATCATTGTAGATTTTACGCCCTCCCAACCATCACCCCAAGTTCCTCAACTATCCACTCGTCCTCTCCTCTCCCTGTTTCTCCAGTGATGCTGACTCTAGGCCTTCATGTCTCCCAATCTCCTGCCAATCCCAATCTGCACATCTCCTGAATCTCCTACAGAGCCATCCTGTTCTCCCTCCTGTTCTCCAAACTTGCACCCCAAATCCTAAAGACGCTGAGGTTCTTCCCAGCCATGCAGCTTCAGGGATGTTGGTGCACGAAATGTGGTAACCTCCGTTCACCTCTATCACACTCACATGAACAAGCATTCCTTTCAATCACGGGCAGGATTTTCATTTCCTGTGGAAGATGAGGAAGGGATTCTTCAGAGCTGAAATGTTCTATATTTCCCGCTGCCATGTTCATTGCTGCATTACTCCTAATAACTAAGATGTGATGATAAACCACCTGTCCATCAACAGATGCATGGATGAAGAAAATGGTGTATGTTTGAAACAGAATGTTACCCATCCTCATAGGGTACAGTGGCACACACCTGTAATCTCAGTGACTCTGGAGGCTGAGGCAAGAGGATCACAGGTTCAAGGCCAGCCTCAGCAAGTTAATGAGAACTTGTTTCAAAATTTTTTTTAAAAAGGGGGTTGCAGATGTGGCTCCACACTAAAGCACTCCTGGATTTCAATCCCCATACGAAAGGGGAAAAATAAAGCTAATCATCCTTAAAAAGAGAAGGAAATTCTGCTGCTGACAACAAGAAGAAGGGACTTTAGGGATATTACAGTCACAAAAGGACAAATACTGCATGATTCCATCTATATGTGGTACCTAAAACAGTCCAACCCATAGACTCAAAGATGGAATTAGTGGCTACCAGGGTCTGGCAGCGGGGATACATGGGGAGATGCTCATCAAAGGACATAAAAGTTTAGTTAAACAAGACAAGTTAGTTCTAGAGATCTGCTGTTTGCATTTTACCTGTAGTTACCAATAAAACATTGTTTACTTAAACATTTGTTAAGAGGGTCGATCTCCTGTGGTGCTCTTACCAACAGAAAACACAATTTTGAAAACCAGAAAGTATTATTTTGAATGACTCAAACATTGTTATTTGGTGAACGAACAAAGGAATGAATACATTAATAAAGAAACAATCAAGTGAAGGCAAAAATGTAACGGAGCTAGGCAAAGAGCAACTGCGGTTGGTTGGGCTGACAAACACCCTCACAGGTCCCTTCAGGGCTGGAGGAGAGATCACGCAGTATCTTCTTGGTTACTTCATGGACAGATAACTCACTGCCATTCACAAACAGCTTGATTTACCTCTGCACAGTCCTTTGCAATCGTCATAGGGAGAGACGCCTGCCTGCACTTTCTTGTACTCTGTCCTCTGCGTAACAATGTGTAAACGTTCTTGTTTTATAGTTTCATAGTTAGAGGGGACTTGGATAGTTTATCCACTGAAACCATTTCCTTTTCAGAGGTCAAAAGAGGAGAGGTATCTTGCAGAATGTCACTCACTAGTAAGCGCAAAGTTGTTACAGAAATGCAAAATTTTCTCTCAAAATGAGCACATTTTTCTCATTTATGCCCTGCACCTTTTCTTTTCTTTTTTTTTTTTTTTAACCAAGGATTGAACCCAGGGGTGCTTAACCACTGAGCCACCTTTCTAGGCCTTTTTATTTTTTTCATTTTGAGACAGGGTCTTACAAAGCTACATAGCGCCTCACTAAGTTGCTGAGGCTGGCCTTGAACTTGCAATCCTCCTGCCTCAACCTCCTGAGCTGCTGGGATTACAGGTGTGCACCACCCTGCCCTGCTGTCCTACATCTCTTGACTCTGCCTT